TTACCGGTCGCAATATCAATGTCGACACCCTGCAGATAGTAACCAGAGCTGTTCACGAGATAGCCGTTCCGGTCCATCTCAAAATCGCCCTGCCGTGTATAGCGGTCAACATCGAGCAGCACCGGCTGGTTATCAAGGGTCCCAACGGCTTCTGAAACGACGAAGAACCCTTCACCATTAATGGCCATATTGGTTGCAACCGAACTGGCATTGATCGCGCCCTGAACATTGTTGGTGTAGGCGGGTTGCGCATAGGTCGTGCCAGGCAGATGGAAGTTCTGGCCACTGGATGTCACGGAATCATAAAAGCTTGTGTCTGTCCGTTTGAACCCGGTTGTCTGCGAATTCGCGATATTATCTGAAATATGGGACAGCGCTGTAGCTTGTGCCCGAATCCCTGAAATCGCTGTCGACATCGCACCGTTAAAGCTCATCTGTCCTATCTCCTTAAACCTGCCCCATGAATGGGGGAACACTCGTTGGGTGGTAGAACGCAAGGACTGGGCCAGACCTTTTTTCTTTTGTTTTCAATAACTTAAGTAAAATTGACCCCCAGCCAACCGGGCAAAATCGGCGCTCCGCCCGGCAAAATCTGCCGCAACGTCGGCAACGAATTTAGAGACCCTCTGTTCAATGTTGAGCGGGCGTTTCCCAACAGATTCCTGGCCTTTTGCTTGAACGTAAGACCGGCTAGCCCTAGGTTCTGTGGCAATTATGAACAGGGAACCAGGCCGCACGAGGCGGCCGACCATATAAGGCCGAGGAAGCATGAAGTTCGAAGGTACTAAAGATTACGTCGCAACAGATGATCTGCGGATCGCAGTCAACGCCGCGATCACGCTGGAGCGCCCCCTTCTGATCAAGGGTGAGCCAGGAACAGGGAAAACCGTTCTGGCGGAAGAAATGTCAAAGGCGCTCGACGCAGAGCTCATTACCTGGCACATCAAGTCCACCACAAAAGCCCAACAGGGTCTCTATGAGTATGACGCCGTCTCCCGCCTGCGCGACAGCCAATTGGGTGACGAGCGGGTCAACGATATCTCTAACTACATCGAACGCGGAAAACTCTGGGACAGCTTCGAGCGTGAAAAACGCCCTGTTCTGCTGATCGACGAAATCGACAAGGCAGACATCGAATTCCCGAATGACCTGCTTCTCGAACTCGACCGAATGGAGTTCTTTGTTTACGAAACCGGTGAAACGATTAAGGCGGCCCAACGCCCCATCGTCGTAATCACATCCAACAATGAAAAAGAACTGCCAGACGCGTTCCTGCGCCGTTGTTTCTTCCACTACATCAACTTCCCTGATGAAGAGACAATGAAGCAGATCATCGCGGTCCACTTCCCAGACCTTAAAGGCCGTCTGATTCAGGAAGCTTTGAACGTTTTCTACGAAATCCGCGATGTTCCAGGTCTGAAGAAGAAGCCTTCCACATCTGAACTGCTGGACTGGCTGAAGTTGCTTTTGGTGGAAGACATTTCCCCGGAAAACCTCAAAGAACGCGATCCATCTAAGCTCATCCCGCCGCTTCATGGCGCGTTGCTCAAAAACGAGCAGGATGTGCATCTGTTTGAGCGTTTGGCCTTCCTTGCCCGTCGTGAGCGCAACTAGAGCCTCAACAGCAAAAGGAGACGAACATGTTCGTTAACTTCTTTCATGAGCTGAAATCGGCGAATGTCCCTGTATCCTTGCGCGAATATCTCACGCTCTTGGAAGCCATGGACAAAAAGGTCATTGAGGACAAGGTGGAGGACTTTTATTACCTCTCCCGCTCCGCTCTCGTTAAAGACGAGCGCAACCTTGATAAGTTCGACCGCGTCTTTTCCCATGTGTTCAAGGGATTGGATTCGCTTGAAGAAGGCGACATCGCCCAGATTCCAGAGGAATGGCTGAAATCGCTCACTGAGAAATTCCTGACCGACGAAGAAAAAGCCCAGATCGAAGCTCTGGGTGGTTGGGAAAAGATCATGGAAGAGCTGCAAAAGCGGCTCGAAGAGCAGGAAAAGCGCCACGAAGGCGGCAATAAGTGGATCGGTACTGGGGGCACCTCGCCCTATGGCGCTGATGGCTACAATCCTGAAGGCGTGCGTATCGGCCAGAAGGAAGGCCGCCATGGCAAAGCCGTTAAAGTCTGGGACAAGCGCGAATACAAAAACCTGGACGATGGCGTTGAGATCGGCACCCGGAACATCAAGATGGCGCTTCGCCGTCTCCGCCGGTTTGCGCGCCATGGGCAGCCAACCGAGCTTGATCTGGACGACACGATCAAATCGACCGCACATCAGGGCTATCTCGACATCAAGATGGTCCCAGAGCGGAAGAATAAGATCAACGTCCTGATCTTCTTCGATATTGGCGGTTCCATGGACAGCCATATCAAACTCTGTGAAGAACTCTTCTCCGCCGCGCGGACAGAGTTCAAGAACATGGAGTATTTCTACTTCCATAACTGCCTCTATGAGCATGTCTGGAAGGACAATAAACGTCGCCATCAAGAGCGGATGGACACCTGGGATGTGCTCCACAAATACCCTTCAGACTACAAAGTGATTTTTGTCGGCGACGGAACTATGTCCCCCTATGAAATCACCTATGCAGGCGGGTCCGTGGAGCACTGGAACGAAGAGCCCGGCGCCATTTGGCTAGAACGCATTCAGCAGATCTATGAAAGCGCCATCTGGTTGAACCCGGTCGCAGAGCGCCATTGGGAATACACCCCGTCTATCCAGGTGATCGAACAGGTCTTCCAGGACCGCATGTTCCCCCTCACCCTGGAAGGGCTGGATAACGCCATGAAGGAACTTTCCCGGGCGTCTTAAGAGGTATGAGGGTTCTCCCTCTCCAAAATGTGAAATGGGGGCCGCTTCAATTCCTGAATGCGGCCCTTATCTTTTCTACAGGAAAGATTTCAAGGAGCAAGCTCATGCAGTTACATGCCGATCTCACTAAACGCGCCGTCGTCGACAGCACAGAGCTTGACTGGGTTGCTTCTCCCCTCGCCGGCGTCGAACGCCGAATGCTGGAGCGGGACGGCGACGAAGTCGCCAGGGCGACCACCATTGTGCGTTACGCGCCAGAGAGCTACTTCGACCCTCATGTGCACGCACTGGGCGAAGAATATGTCGTGCTTGAAGGCACGTTTTCCGATGAGCATGGCGACTTTGGCAAGGGTTTCTATGTCCGCAATCCACCCGGCTCCCGCCACCGCCCTCATTCAAAGGACGGATGCACAATTCTGGTCAAACTTCGCCAGATGGACCCAAGTGACACAGTGCAGGTGAATGTAGATACCAACGTCGGGGAATATGCGGAAACCGGCGTTCCGGGCCTCACCATGCTCGAGGTTCATACCGATGAACGCGAACAGGTCGGCTTCTTCCGCTTTGCCCCCGGCACCAAAGTGCCACTGCATGAGCATGTCGGCGGCGAAGAGTTCTTCGTCATTGCAGGTGCCCTGTCAGATGCAAAGGGGACCTACAAGGCCGGTACCTGGGTCCGACAGGAACATGGAAGCTCCCATGAAGTCACAAGCGAAGAAGGCTGTCTGCTCTACTCAAAATCGGGACACCTGCCGCGCCAAGCCCGCTGATAGACCCCATCTCGAGCGATCGCACCGTCCACCAGATGAACATTGCGATCAGCTGCTTCGGCAAAATCGACGTCATGGGTGACGGCAATGATCGTCGTGCCCTGTTCTTGCGCGAGCCGCACGAAGATATCGCGGACAATATCTGAGTTTTTCGTATCCAGATTGCCAGTCGGCTCATCCGCCAGGATCAACGTAGGGGCATTGCCCAGCGCGCGCGCAATCGCCACCCGCTGACGTTGACCTCCCGAAAGCTGGTCAGGATACTTAGACGCCTGATCACCAATCTCCAGATCCTCCAGAAGCTGTATGCCGCGCTCAATAGTCTCACTCTCCGACAACTCTCCCAAGCGCTTTATCGGAATGGTGACATTGTCGAGGATCGTAAATTCAGGCAGGAGGAAGTGAAACTGAAAAACAAAACCCAAATGCGCCAGTCGAAACTGTGCGAGTTCATCCCGGCTCAGAAGACTGGTGTCTTGACCGTCCACAATCACACGCCCTTCAGTCGGCGCATCCAGAAGCCCCAGAAGATAAAGAAGAGATGACTTCCCCGATCCCGACGGCCCGGTGATACTGACAAACTCCCCCGCCGTGACAGAAAAATTGATACCGTGCACGAGCGTTACCGGCACGGTGAGCGGCAGGATGCGCGTCACATTCTCTGTTTCCAGGACAATCCGGGGCGACGCATCGCTCATGCTGCCCCCCGAATGATCTCAACCGGTCGCACTCGGCTGGCACGATGCGCTGGAATCCACGCAGCAACAATTGACGATGACAAGGCGAAGACCGCCCCCATCACATATTGGTAGAAGCCACGATCAAGCGGCAACCGCGAGTCATCATAAAACCCTTCAAGCTCGAACTTGATACTGCCAAGCGCCTCAACCAGGCCATAACCAACGCCCCACCCGATGACCATGCCAATGACACCGAGTGCGATGCCCTGTAACAAAAATATCTGGCGAATGTCGTAGGCGCGAAACCCCATCGACATGAGAATGGCAATGTCCCGACGTTTCTCCATCACCACTGTCGAGATGATGTTGAAGATACCAAAGGACGCAACGATCATAATTGCACTCACAATGGAATAGAGAATGACGTTCCGGACAACAAACAGAGAAAGAAAGTCTTCGTTCGCTTCTTGCCAGGACTCAGAGCGATAGGTCCATCGCTGCTCAATTCTCTCTGCAACCTCCAAAGCTGTATTTGGATCAGGCAAACGGATGCGGATCTGATCGGCAATATTGGGCTTGTTCATCAGAACCTGGGCATCTTTGAGAAGAACATAGGCCCGTCCTTCATCAAGCATCACATTGCCCGCGCGAAAAATCCCCACAACCTTCATCCGCACGACAAGGCCCGTTGGGGAGACCACAGATGCCAAGTCCCCAACCCGCAATTGCAGGCGATCAGATAAGCCAGTGCCGACGACAATGCCATCAGACGTGGTCTTGAGGGCCGCCATATCACCCTCAATCATATCTTCCTCAATCGTGGTGAGTTCCACCTCCTTATCCGGATCAACACCTAGAATAGAGACACTGCGATCCTTGCCCCCATATCGAACAATCACCTGGCCCGTAAGAACAGCAGAGGCAATTGCACCTTCTTGCTGCTCAATTTGTTCAACCTTGCCCTTATAGTCTTTGATCCCCCGAAGCCGTTCCCGCGGCTTCACGCCCTTCAGGGACAAGGCGCCTTCTTCGTAGGCATGAAACAATGGTTGGATTGATGGATTTCGAAACTCGTCTTTGATCGTAACATGAGGCTGGCTGTTGATCAGTTTATCGGTCAGGTCTTGTTCAGACCCCTGCATCATTGCGGAAGTCGCAATGAAAAATCCTACCCCCAACGCAACACCCAAAACCGAGACAAGGGTCTGGCGCCGCCGATGGGTGAGATGAGCAAAGGCGATCTGGATATTGACCCATCGGAACATGGGGTCACCGCCCCTCTCTGGTTACACGCACTTCATCGCCTGCTTGGAGATCAGACGTAGGCTCATGGATGACCCATGCACTTTCATCAAGTCCACCCAGAACCTCCACAAACGTGCCATCAATCGGGCCGAGCGTCGGTACATTCCTCACCGCAACATCGTCACCCGCCACAGTCCAGACCGCACCGTTCACAACAGCGCTGCTGGGCACAAGAAGCGCATCCAGTTCTTCCCTGAGGATGATATTGAGCTCGGTTGTCATACCAGCCAACAAAGGCGTGTCCTCAGGCAAAGCTATATGCACTCTGTATGTCCGCGCGATAGGATCGCCAAAAGGCGTAATCTCCTCTATGCGCCCTTCGAGGGCTTGTCCTTCAAATGCATCAGCGCGAATAAGCGCCTTCTGGCCGACCATGACCCGGGGAATGTCCTCCTCATCGACCTCCGCCTCAACCCACAGGTGAGAGGGGTTCCCAAGAACAAACAAAACTTTTCCGGCAGTTACCAGATCACCCACATCAAGCTGCATCTCAGAACGCATCACATCACCGCTGATGGCAGCGCGGATAAAATGCTCCTGCAGCCGAACACGAGCGGCCTCTAAGGCAGCGTCAGCTGACCGGAAGTTGGCTTCCGATTGATCCTTGGAGGCAGCGCTCGTATTGCCCGATCGAAAGAGACGGCGATAGCGTTCAACATCCGACGTTGCATATTCAAGGCGTGCTTCCAGTTCTCGCACCGCGGCACCGGCTTCGCGGTTGTCGAGAATGGCAAGCACTTCGCCTTCAACGACTGCGTCACCTTCGTGCACCAGAACCTGTTCAATACGACCGGACACATTGGCCCCTACGCGGGCCACATGCACGGGCTCCACTGTGCCCGTTGCATACACGGCGACGACTGAGGGACCACGTACGGGCTGTAGGGCGACCAAACTCGTCTGGAATTGAAAAGAAAAGATGAGAAATCCGGTGACCAAAAGCGCAACGAGACCCACCCCTATAATCCATCGGCTTCTTGTCACAACAGCCTCTTTTGTTCTTCAAACAAACCCTAGTCAGACTCGACGCAGTGCACCAACAAAGTTCTACACCATTAAAATGGCAATTAGCGAGACTGATACAAGGTTCCTTTGCGTAAATGCGACTACCAAAGCCACGGGTTTCCGCTATTCTCCGCGCCTTAAGGGTGGAACAAAATGATGCAGATCATCAATTGGCTCAAAAGTGAGAAGTGGAAACGTCAGGACATCCTCTTGATGTTGATGGCCGCCGCGGTTCCGCTGTCCTTCGCCACATGGAACTCATTGCTCAACAATTTCGCGATTGAACGCGCAGCCTTCGATGGGGCCGAGATGGGCATCCTGCAGTCGCTGCGCGAAGTACCAGGCTTTCTCGCATTCACCTTCGTCTTTGTTCTGCTGATCCTGAAGGAACAGAGCTTTGCGTTGATTTCGCTCGCGGTGCTGGGCATCGGCACAGCACTGACAGGGTTCTTCCCAACCGCCATCGGTCTTTATTGCACGACCGTCCTAATGTCGGTCGGCTACCACTATTACGAAACGGCACAACAATCCCTTGCCCTGCAATGGCTCCCCAAAGGGGAGGCGCCGGTGGTCCTCGGACGTCTTCTAGCCGTCGGAGGCTTTGCAAGCCTGCTCGCTTACGGATTGATATTCATCATCTGGGAATGGATTGGGCTCGACTACAAATGGGTCTATTTGGCCGGTGGCACCGTAACCGTTCTCATTGCTTTGACCGCATGGGCACTCTTCCCGACATTTGAAGCACCGACCGCACAGCGCAAAACGCTTGTCCTGCGCTCACGCTATTGGCTCTATTACGCCCTCACCTTTATGGGCGGCGCACGTCGACAGATCTTCGTGGTCTTTGCCGGTTTCATGATGGTGGAAAAGTTTGGCTATTCCGTCACAGCCATCACCCTGCTCTTCCTTGTTAATCAGGCCTTCAACATGGTGCTCGCTCCCAAGATCGGCGGGCTGATTGCCCGTTTTGGCGAACGCCGAGCGCTGACGTTCGAATATATCGGGTTGATCGGGGTCTTCGTGACCTACGCCTTTGTCGAAGATGCCACACTCGCCGCGATACTTTACGTGATTGATCACGGCTTCTTCGCGCTCGCAATCGCCATGAAGACCTATTTTCAGAAAATCGCTGATCCCGCCGACATTGCCCCAACAGCAGGCGTCGCCTTTTCAATCAACCACATTGCAGCCGTTGTGATCCCCGCCCTCTTCGGCCTGATCTGGCTGGTAAATCCAAGTCTGGTGTTCCTCTTAGGGGCTGGCATGGCCGCCATCTCACTGGCGCTCTCACGACTCATCCCCACCCGCCCAGAAGAAGGGCGGGAACTGAGATGGCACAAGCCTCTTTTTGGCGCCCACCCGGCAGACTAAAACCCGATGTCACCCGCTAAGATGCACAAAGACGAAGCGGAGATTGACGAGAGCCTTGTCCAGCGTCTTCTCACGTCGCAGTTTCCGGATTGGGCGGACTTGGCCATCACACGGGTAGCCTCAGCCGGAACAGACAATGCGCTCTATCGTCTCGGGCAGGAAATGGTTGTGCGGTTGCCGCGCATGAAGAGCGCCGCAGGACAGGCAACAAAAGACTTTGAGTGGCTGCCGAAACTCGCGCCCCACCTGCCCCTCGCCATTTCATCACCATTCGCGTTAGGCAATCCAGTAGAAGGTCTGCCCTGGAACTGGACGATCTGCAATTGGCTTCCCGGGACCCCACCAATCGTCGGCGAGATCGCTGACGAAACTGGTCTTGCTACCTCTCTGGCTGGTTTCGTGCAGGCATTGCACCGAATTGATCCAACCGGTGGCCCTCGTCCGGGTATTCATAATTTCGGCCGCGGCGTTCCACTGGCAAAACGAGACACCTATGTCCGTAGGGCCCTCACTGAACTTACTGGTATCATCGACGTCAAAGCCGCAACCGTTGAATGGGAGATGGCACTGTCGGCGCCCGTTTGGCCAGAAGAGCCCGTCTGGATTCATGGTGACCTGCAAGCCGGAAACCTGCTTGTCCGAGAGGGGAAACTAGCAGCTGTAATCGACTTTGGCGGTTTGGGAATTGGTGATCCTGCCGTTGACCTTCTTCCAGCCTGGAACTTGTTTGGTCCGGAGGCACGTAAGGTCTTTCGTGATACTCTCGAAGTCGATGACGCGACTTGGGCACGGGGTCGCGGGTGGGCACTCTCTGTCGCGCTCATCGCTCTTCCCTATTACCTCAAGACAAACCCAGAGATTGTCGCCAGCTCTCACCATGTGATTGAAGAACTGCTGAAAACCCGCTCAACCTAGTGAAAATCCCGACTTTTTGGCATCAGTCGCGCTGCCCGAAGCTGCCGTTCATAAAGCTTCTGCAGTGAGCGTGTGCGCGGATCTTCTCCCGGCCGCTTTACCTCATCTGCATGGGCAAGACCATTGTCCCCGATCTCATATTGTCCGTCCGTAAGACCTGCCAATTCGTGTGTCCAATCCTCCAGCCAGTCGGAGACGACATGGATCACGCCTTCCGCTTTCTGCACCCGACCGCGCACGGCAAGGAAACGCGACTGCAAAACCGTGCGTCGATACCGCTCAAAAATCTTCGGCCAGATGATGATGTTCGCAACCCCCGTCTCATCTTCCAATGTCGCAAAAATCACCCCACTCGCCGTGCCCGGCCGCTGACGCACAAGGACAAGCCCCGCGAGATTAACCCGCGTGCCATCACGAATAGCTTCATCATCCAGCCGGGCATTTGTCACAACCCGTCGCGCATCCAGACTAGAGCGTAAGAAAGAAACCGGGTGCGCCTTTAAAGACAGTCGCATGGTGGCATAATCATGCACCACCTGTTCCCCGAGAGGCATAGCAGGCAAGTGCACGTCTGGTTCTTCCTGAAAACCCGCCTGCTCCAGATGCTCAAAGAGCGGAAGCGCCGCGGGCGCCTTCCCGTTCTGACCCTTCTTATGCTGCCCCCACCCACCAAGGCCGCGCACACCCCAAAGTGCATCGCGACGTTCCAGACCGATTGAGCGAAACGCATCCGCATTCGCCAGAATCTCAATGACCCGTGGCGTAAGACCGGTTCGGAGCCAGAGATCACGAACAGAGTCATACCCACGAAGCCGCTTGTCCTCGACAAGTTCTGCTGCCTCCTCCCGAAACCCCTTGATATGACGAAGCCCCAGGCGTACCGCGCATGTATGACGGGGTTTGGTTTTCCACCGTTTGCGATGAGTTATCTGTCCATTGGCTTGCGTCGACGAAATAGTTTCTCCCAAAGGCTCCAGCGTTGAGTCCCAGTCAGATGCATTCACATCTGCGGGCACCACCTCCACACCATGCTCCTTCGCATCTCGCACCAATTGGGCGGGAGCATAAAAACCCATAGGCTGGGAATTGAGGATCGCCGCACAAAACACGTCTGGGTAATGGCACTTCAGCCAGGCCGACACATAGACGAGCAGAGCAAAAGAGGCCGCATGGCTTTCCGGAAAACCATAATCGCCAAAGCCTTCAATCTGTTTGAAACAGCGTTCCGAAAAATCCTGCTCATAGCCCCGCGCCACCATGCCGCCGATAAACTTGTGCTCAAAATCATAGATCGTGCCATTCCGCCGGAAGGTAGCCATCGCACGGCGCAAGCCGTCTGCTTCCGGCGGTGTAAACCCGGCAGCCACAATCGCAATTTTCATGGCCTGCTCCTGAAAGAGCGGTACCCCCATAGTCTTGCCCAACACTTCGCGTAACTCATCGGAAGGAAAATCGACGGGCTCCTCGCCATTTCGCCGCCGGAGATAAGGATGCACCATATCCCCTTGAATGGGCCCGGGCCGTACAATCGCGACCTCCACCACCAGGTCATAAAAGGTTCGGGGCTTGAGCCTCGGTAGCATGGACATTTGTGCCCGGCTTTCTACCTGGAAGACACCAACTGAGTCTGCCTGACACAGCATGTCATAGACCGCCGGATCATCTTCCGGCACCGTGCGTAACCCATGACGAATACCGTAATGGGTTTCCAGAAGATCAAATGCTTTGCGGATGCAGGACAACATGCCAAGCGCCAGCACATCAATCTTCAAAATGCCCAGTGTATCAAGGTCATCCTTATCCCACTCTACAATAGTACGATCTTCCATCGCTGCGTTCTGGATTGGCACCACTTCTTCCAGAGCCCCGCGCGTAATGACAAACCCGCCAACATGTTGAGAGAGATGCCGTGGAAACCCGATCAACTCTCCTGCAAGAGAAAGAGCCATCGCAATCAGCGGATCATCCGGATCAAGCCCGGCCTGCCGCACCTCATCAGCGGCCACGCCCTTTGATGACCATCCCCAGGTCATCCGCGCCATAGCACCCACCACATCTTCAGAAAGACCCATGGCTTTCCCCACTTCGCGGATAGCACTTCGGGCACGATAGGTAATCACCGTCGCCGCAAGCCCTGCCCGGTCCCGCCCATATTTCTGGTAGATGTATTGGATGACCTCCTCGCGCCGCTCATGTTCAAAATCGACGTCAATGTCTGGCGGTTCATTGCGCTCTTCTGAGATGAACCGCTCAAACAACAGATCTACTTTGACCGGATTAACTGCTGTAATACCAAGGCAATAGCAGACAGCCGAGTTCGCCGCCGACCCGCGCCCCTGACAGAGAATGTGGTGCGACTCCGCAAAGCGCACAATGTCGTAGACCGTCAAGAAATAGGGCGCGAACTTGAGACGGTGAATAAGTTCAAGCTCCCGCGTCAGCGTATCCCGTAATTTATCGGTGATGCCGTCAGGAAATTTTTCGGCCACGCCCTCCCAGGTCAGCTTTTCCAGCAGCGCCTGAGGTGCCAGCGCGTCATCAAACACATCGTCGGGATATTCATAGGCCAGTTCATCAAGCGAAAATGTGCAGCGCTCAACAATCCGCGCTGTCTCTGAAATCGCCTCTTCGTACCCCCGAAAGACACGAACCATTTCAGCTGTATCTTTCAAATGACGTTCCGCATTTGCCTCCAGACGAAAGCCGGCCTCATAAATGGTGCAATGCTCGCGAATACAGGTCATGACGTCCTGCAGGCGCCGTCGTTCAGGCGCGTGATAAAGCACATCATTTGTCGCGACGAGAGGTACCCTCACCCCGTCAGCAACCCGAGCAAGTGCTTTCATCCGCCTTTTGTCGTCACCTGTGTAAAGACGGTTAAGCCCAAGCCATACCTGGCCCGGAAAACGTGCGGACAGATCGCGAAGAGAAGCTTCAAACTCTTTCCCCGGTGTGGGTGGCGGCATAGTGATGAAGCACTGCCCATCGCCATAAGACACAATATCGTGGAGCGTGAGGTAACACTCTCCCTTGGGGGCACGACGATTGCCAAGCGTGAGTAATCGACAGAGCCGCGCATAGGCTGGGCGGTCTTGAGGATAGGAAATCACTTCAAACCCATCCTGAGTGATCAATCGCACACCCGGCAGGAATCTCAGACCCTGATCCTTTGCCGCTTTGTGAGCCCGCACAATGCCTGCAAATGTATTGCGATCCGCGACACCAATCGCCGAAAGCCCAAGCTCCACCGCCTGCATCGCCAACTCGTCCCCGTGCGACGCACCCCGCAGAAAACTGAAATTGCTGGTAATGGCCAGCTCCGCGAAGGAGGTCACCCGAACACCCCATGCACAAACCATTTCGGGTTCACTGTCTCGCGACCAAAGAGACCATCCCGGTAGAGCCAGAAGCGACGGCCTTGCGCATCTTCCACACGGTAATAATCCCGCACATGTGCCCGTCCCTGAGAAGCACATGGACTGCTGCCGTTGCTGCTGCTGTTGCTGCTGCTGTTGCTGCTGTTGCTGTTGCTGTTGTTGCTGTTGTTGTTGTTGTTGTTGCTGTTGTTGTTGTTGTTGCTGTTGCTGTTGTTGTTGTTGTTGTTGTTGTTGTTGTTGTTGTTGTTGCTGTTGCTGTTGTTGTTGTTGTTGTTGTCGTTGTTGTTGTTGTTGTTGTTGTTGTTGTTGTTGTTGTTGTTGTTGTTGCTGTTGTTGTTGTTGTTGTTGTTGTTGTTGTTGTTGTTGTTGTTGTTGTTGTTGTTGTTGTTGTTGTTGTTGTTGTTGTTGTTGTTGTTGTTGTTGTTGTTGTTGTTGTTGTTTGTTGATGTTGTTGTTTTTGTTGTTGTTGTTGTTGTTGTTGTTGTTGTGGTGTTGTTTGTTGTTGTTGTTGTTGTTGTTGTTGTTGTTGTTGTTGTTGTTGTTGTTGTTGTTGTTGTTGTTGTTGTTGTTGTTGTTGTTGTTGTTGTTGTTGTTGTTGTTGTTGTTGTTGTTGTTGTTGTTGTTGTTTTCTTTTTGGGCATTGTTTGTTGATGTCTTTGTTGTTGTTGTTTTTTCCTTTCTTTGTTTTGTTCGATTCACCAATGAGCATGGAACCGTTCGACGCTGAGGGAGTCCTGGTTTGGACCATGGAATCACTCCCCGTTCACGTTGAACTTCCTTGTTTTTTTGTTTTTTCCCCCGCATGATGCTTACGAAACTCTCATCAAAGTGAGCCCAAGGAGTATCACCGGCCCAAGACAGGACAAGATTCCGAATCCAAACCACGAAAGGATAGTCCGCTAGAAGGTGTGGGTGGGTCTTGTTTGGATGGTACCCTTTTTGGGGTGGTAAGGGTCCCAACCCAAATGTACTGTCCAGTGGGCCCAGTGAAGAAATTGATTCACAGAAGCCACAAGGAAACCAAAGGAAACCAACCAGACCTGTTAGGGGGGGACATCCATGGCAGTATGTCTGGAAGCAGCCCGTAAAGGAGCCAGGTCAAAAGTGAGCCCAAGGAGTATCAACAGCCCCCAGGAGATTCGAACCCCGGTGAACCAAATGCAGTGATACTGTGGACTGGCGACATCCAATGTCGCACCGTGCAAAGAATGGTTGCCCATGCTTTGAAAGTGGTGCGACATGGTTGTCGTCCATCCACTGTAGTTCAAAGTACCCTGTTAGAACCCCTTCAATCGAAGGGAAAATACTTGCCCAAATGTTGAGCCCGGATTCGTGAACCCCAGTTTAAGAATAAGGAAGGGTGTCTCCCAGGGTCTAGTCGGAAGTCAGACTGGAGGGCCCACCCCATACTAGAAACTGGGGTTGGTTCATCCGGGGTCCACATTCGTAACATTAGGACCCCAAAGGGTGGAAACTCAGAAACCCTGAAACCCGGAAACCCTGAAACCTGGAAACCCTGAAACCCGGAAAAACCCGCAAACCTCGGAAACCAGACGGATTGAATCACGCGCGCCTCCCCCGAAAACGCCCCCAAACCGAAACCTCCGCGAAGAGAAACGGAAAACAAGTCGTCGCCTGCAAGGCCTGAGCCTCACCTTGCAGCTGCGCTGCCAGCTTCTTGGCGCGCGCCTGCGATGGCTCGGAGCCGAAAGCGGTGGCCATGGGTCAAAATCAGAAGCCCGCGTCCCCAACCACTAGAATAGGTCCTAAAATGGGTGGTGAATTCACCTACCCCCAAAAGGGATCCCATTGGTTTTGAGCCACAGCCAAGTGAGAAAAAAAGTGTTTACAGCTCTTCCTGAAAGAATGGAAGTCCGAGACTCGGGCAAGAATTCCTGACAGAGCGGCTTGAAGTAGAGGAATTCAGGTCAGAATCCCTAAAGCGAAAGCTTATGGACATTACAGCTAGTCCTAGTGCACAGCAAGTCCTAGTGCACAGCTGGCCATCGGTGTCCTTGTCAAAAAAACAAAAAGAGATCAGTGTGCCCTGGTAAATGGGGCCCGAAACCCATCCAAGCCAGCGGCCTGCCCATCGATTTCTAGCCATAGCCGATCAAAAGGACGAAATCCATTCGCACCTATCCGAAATGTTGGTTTCTGATTCGATTCCTCTGTAAAGTTACTGGTTTCAGCCGTGGCAACAGATTTCTTGGCGCGAAACGGATGACTCAACCATCCACAGCTATGACCTGGGCTACTTTAAACATCCAAAAAGGTACCCGAAATGGAACCCTGGTAAATGAAAATATGGACTCAAATCTGCGGTCCGCTTCCTGGTGGTTTCATTTTGACCCACAGCCATAAATAGTTCCAGTAGTGATAGGTTCCCTTTAAAACCAGCAAGGCAAAATAAAACATAGTCTTAAGCAAATGGTTGCCCTTGGTTTCCCGCTTGGTCTGAAAAAAAATGAAGAAAACAAAGCGACGAGCACGGGCCTGCCCGCCGAAATCCGCACCTCCGCCTCCTTGGACGCGGCGGCAGCTGCCAGGGCCTTCTCCGCGGTGGTGGACCGCGCGGGCGGGGCGAAGGTCTGGTCCCTCAGGCGCCCGTGCGGTGCGGGCGTGCACGGGCGCGCGCGGCGAATCGCCCCGAAGCGGCTTCCCTCGAAACGGGTGGGGGCTTTGGAGCCGAGTCGGTTAGGAAATGGAGTCCCATTGACCTGCAGAAGAAATGTTGGGGTGTGGTTGAAATGACCACTGTACGACACGAAGGGCCTAACCCCAACGGATCCCCACCCTTTGCTTAACAAAGAGGGTGCTCCCAGCGATCTGGTTTTAAGCTGCCGCTCTTGTTTTTTCAGGGGGAAGAACTTTTTGTATCACAGTGGGGACAAACCCCTGACGCTTCCCCAGCCGCCGAAGACCCCGCGTGACGAAGCTATCTCGTGGCCACCCAGCCCCCACCCACCCCCCACCCAAGCGTGACGACGCTGCACCCCCCCCCCCCCCAAACCGCCCGCAGCGATGACGCTATCTGCATCTCGTGGTTCAGCGACGGCGAAGGAGGCTTCTAAAGGTGCATGTGTATTTATTTATGTGTTTATACATATATGTATATATATATATATATATATACACCTACATGTGTTTGTGTATATGTGGCAAATGTGGGAGGTGATCCATGCAGATCCTCATAGTCCCACTCGTCAGATCAAACTGTGCAAACAAAAAAAATGCGCTGCTCGCAATCCTGTGGATGGACGAAATCCTGCACCACCTCAGAGACCCTGGAAGGATGATTCCCCTGTAAATACCAAACAAACAATGGTTTCAACCATGGTTTCCAAGTGGTGCGAAATGGATTTCGCAACCATCCACAGCATGTCGCTTGAATTCGTCCCAGGTCAAAGGCCATCAACACGGTTCATGCTTCCGGCTTTGGGCTTCCCTGGCTCAGACATGGATCCAACGGTTGAAAGCAAACCCACTGGGCTGGCTTCCCCAGTCTTTCCGTTCATCCTGGTTTCCACAAAGCCGAGAAAAGCGCGCAGTGAAAACATGTCCGATCTGGAGGAAGCCAAAGGCCCTTCAACTGCAAGGTTCAGAAGAAGCTTCGAAGTCTTAGAAGGGCCTTCTTTTTCAGAAGCTTTTCTGGGTAGGGCGTAGACCCGTCGCCCCAGGATGTCTGATCCAGTTTTGGCCAGGCGGCAGAGCCTCCTGGACCTGCGAAAGACAAAGGGGTGGCAGGGAAGGTCAGCGTCTGAATAAACTGTTTGGCAGGGGTTGGTGGGTCCCGATCCTGGTTGCTCATTCTCTTACTGGTGCTCGGTAGGGAATCATACAGGGTGTTGGGAATGAACCGGTTTTGGGGATTCTCCCAAAAAAAACATGACTTACGGGGGCCATTCCCTCATTCCCGGCTAAGAACCAGAAGGATGCAGAGTGTGACACATGCAAAGGTTCCTGCTAGCTACGGCATCATCGCCTCATGAACCACACCCGGTTATAGGACAAAACTAAGGAGCATGTTGTCGTCACCTTGTTGCAGACACCCCGGGCACTTTCATGGCAAAGCCCCTTTTATCATCTTGAATCCTCCTAACTTTGCACATCCTCATCAAACTTGAAAACATTGGAGTGAGTCGTGCGTCCCCGCGAGGTGGCCCTTTGCCCGAACCAGGCGTGCAGAACACTGCGCCTTGGCCATGTCTGGCAGCTCGCTGGCAGCAGCCGAGGTAGGCTTTGGCTCGGGCTGCTTTTGCTCCTTTTGCACCGGTGGCAGCTCTGCCTGTGGCGCTGCCTTGGGCTCAGCTTTGGGCTCTGCCTGTGGCGCTGCCTGGGGCTCGGCTTTGGGCTCTGCCTGTGGCGCTGCCTTGGGCTCAGCTTTGGGCTCAGCTTTGGGCTCTGCCTGTGGCGCTGCCTTGGGCTCAGCTTTGGGCTCTGCCTGTGGCGCTGCCTTGGGCTCGGCTTTGGGCTCAGCTTTGGGCTCTGCCTGTGGCGCTGCCTTTGGCTCAGCTTTGGGCTTGGGCTCGGCTTTGAGCTCTGCCTGTGGCGCTGCCTTGGGCTCAGCTTTGGGCTCAGCTTTGGGCTCTGCCTGTGGCGCTGCCTTGGGCTCAGCTTTGGGCTCTGCCTGTGGCGCTGCCTTGGGCTCGGCCTGTGGCGCTGCCTTTGGCTCAGCTTTGGGCTCTGCCTGTGGCGCTGCCTTGGGCTCAGCTTGGGGGCTCAGCTTTGGGCTCTGCCTGTGGCGCTGCCTTGGGCTCAGCTTTGGGCTCTGCCTGTGGCGCTGCCTTGGGCTCGGCTTTGGGCGCTGCTTTAGGCTCTGCCTTAGCCTCTGCCTTGGGCACTGCCTCCAGCTTTGGTTCCGGCTCTGCCTTTGGCTTGGCCTTGGCCTTGGGGGTTTCCGGTGACGCAGCCTTTGGCTCCGCCTTGGCGAAGGGAGAAGCAGAGCTCCGCGCCGGCGGCGAGGCCGGAGACTTTGGGCTGGCGCTGGCCGGTTTGGGCGAAGGCGCCGCGGTGGTGGTGACCTGTGTGGGACGCACAAAGATCCCGTGGTTGGGCGGGCAGGTGAAGTAGCTCACGTCTTTGACGGTGCCATCATTCCTCAGTCCCCCATCGCGGCGCCCTTGAAGCGCCCTCTTTTCTCTGTGTCTTTCTCTTCAAGCGCGTGCATGAATGCAGTCAGGTTGGCTCATGGGTTACGTAGCCACATAGTTAGCTAGTAAGCTGGTTGTGGCCAGTTGGATAGCCAGCCCGCTCGCCAGCTAGTTGCTAGCTATTTAGCAATTTGGTTTGCTAGTCCGCGAGTTGGCGAGTTCGCTAGCTAGCTGGCGCAAGCAAGCTAGCTAGCTGCGTTGGCTAGCAAGCTGGTGGCAAGGAAGCTAGTTGGCTGACTGGTTAGGCAGGCTAGCCAGCTAGATGCTTGAATCGCTCGCCAGCGCGTTCATTCGCTTAGGTCATTCGCCAGCTTGGGAGCAAGCTAGTAGGCACGCTCCAAACTTCAGAGCCGAGACGTTCCATTTTGGACCCCTACTTTTCTTGGTTGACGTTGGAAGGGGAGCAAACATTGAACAATTTTAGCAGTTAAGTGGTTGGATTTCAACCACTAAACCACAATAAGCAAAAATGTATAAAATGCTTCCTAACGACAACCATGTGTTGAGCCACATGTAGCCATCTTGTCGACTAGAAACCTCTAGCTTCAGCAAGTTGCAAGTTCGCTAGTTGGATAGTTGGCCACATCGCCAGACTGCTAAGCTGCTGCCGCGATAGCTAGTTGCCCAGTCAGCCGATAAGAAACGTCAAAACACGAGGGTCTGACGACAAAAAGACACTATTGAGATATGCTGAATAAATATATGCTGAATACATATATGATGCTAATTGTAAGCCCAACAAGATTCCGGAGATCATGTGGAATGAAACGGTAGATCCTTAAAGAGAGAGAGAGAGAGAGAGAGAGAGAGAGAGAGAGAGAGAGAGCGAGAGCGAGAAAATTAGCATCTTAAAACATAAGCATTGTCTGCTTCTTATTGACTACTGTCTTCTACCAATAGTCCATCCTTAGAGTTCGTGACCACCCCACAGTTCAACCAAACTTGATGGCCGCGCAAGCTGCAAAGTTGCGGGCCAAACTGAGTCTTTGGCGATCAAAGCCCGAAGGTCAACCCGCCCCAACACGTGGCCACGTGCATCCGCGACGCGCACTTCTAAGCGCCAGAGAAGCTCAACTATTTCCGACGCCACGGAAGCTCTTTCTTTGGCCACGGAAGTTTCTTCTAAGCTTGATGAAATTGCCAAAACGAAAGGTTTGGAAGGCTAAGCGGAGGCAATCGTTCATTCCATATGATGATTTTCGGAGAGCTGTGATACTCGGGATGCCAAAGGCGACCAGCTGAAAACCGCCAGTGCGGCAATGATCTCAGTGCCCGATTCTGTATCAGTCGCATGCCTGTGCCCAGTGCCTAGCGCGACACCCGATCATCAGCGATTCTTCAAAAACTGAGGTTCACTGGGGCATTAACATGTGTCGCCCGGAGCCACAAATCCCATGCGAATATCAGCCACGCATGTCCACGCTTCAAAGAAGCCGAAGGTGCGCTGAACGTATCGCTTAAACCCCTGACTAGAGGGATCGTGGCCGCTGAGGGCGTCACAATTGTTTAAAGGTTGGACATGTCCAACACCCCTCCCAAATGGCTTAATGGTTTTCCTTTCGGCGCCCCTTTTAAAACCCACCAAAAACCACGGGCGCCACACGAACAACTCGTGGGACCGGATCTGGGGCCTTTCAAACGCGCGCCCGGCCTGCCGACGGGCTCGTCCAGCTCGATGCCCACCCACACGCCACCAGCAAACTCCGCCTCCCCGCAGAAGCGGACCTCAGCGTTTTGATTGCCCTGCCTGTCATGTGTGTGTGTGTGTGTGGTGTGTGCGTGTGTGGGCCGGTGCTTGGGCTTGCTTGTGGTTGTGGTTGTGTGTTGTCATTGTGTTTGTGTTTGTGGTTGTGTGTGCGTACGTGCCAAACGGACCTCAAGACACCTTTGGTCTCAAATCTGGATAAGCTGGCACCCACCGCATCTTCGACCACTGGCTCAACCATGAAGCACAGACCTTCATGAAGCTTTGCCAAGGGTCCAAGGGGTGTCACTCAGCACTCGCAATATGTCCCACGGTTCCCCACCCAAACTCGGCCCCTTGGAAGGGAAACCAACTGGGGCCCGAGAACTCTGTTCCCCGCACATCCGGCCCAAGCGGATGTGCAGCAAGGATTGCTTGTTGCCGATTGCTTTGGCATTCCGGTACAGGGTCTGGTTTCGGGCCATGCACAACTCACATAAAAAGAAAGACAACAAAGCCAGCTGAGTACTAGATGGCAAGGAACTTCCTCAGTGCAGGGCTTCCTCCGAATGTTCTAAAGCTGACGCTTGCATTGCTGACGTGAAATGGGGAGGGTATGCTACAACCCATGCATCTCCTGGTATCCTCTGCAATTGCTCCGAGCTCTCTCCAAGGCATCTGGGGCCCGAACTGAACAGCGTGTGCTCAGCTTCCCTCATTTGGCGGTTAAGGAAAGGTTTCCCATGTACTCTCTGGGTAAGCTAGGCGAGCCCGCCGAAACGAGCGGGCGAAAGGGTCCAACTGGGGTTGTATTGAAATGGGAGGAACCCCAAAGCAAATGGTGGCCGCCCTTTCTGCGCTAGGGCGCATATAGAAAACAACCTTTTCTGTGATACCCAAGCAGCATTCCCATCCCAAGGCTACTTTATCACTTCCAAAGAGGGTGTTTGGAATCACAGAAATTGGCAGCCTACAGAAAATTCATCCACAACTATGACCAAATTGTTCTGCCCACTTGTCCCTTGAACAAACAAAAAACGAAAGGGCATTCTACTTCGCTTCGAGCAATCCCCACCCTCCACATTCACGAGCTTACGGCCAGGAACACGGTTGTGTGAATCAAGCATGGTTTTCGAGTGGCTTGGGGCCTATGACTGCTCAACAAGCTTTGCATTGAGAGCCTTATCCACCTGTCTGTGTGTCAAACTCCACTTGTCTGCGAGCCGATCTCGAGAACTCAAACAGCGGTTCCGTTAGCAAAAGCCAAGCCCCTTCCAAAAAGAAACCCGACGGGGGATTCAACGAAGTTGCTTATTCACAGCCCAAAGCGACACAAAAGCATCACCCTTTCCGAGCCTCAGGGTACACTCAAAACCCAAAGGCACCAACATGAAATGTAAACCCAACTGTGCGCCGGGCGGGACATTAAGCAAAACCAGACTGGCAAGCTGCTCTGGCGGGATACTGGCGGGATCCACTGGCGAATACAAGGGATACTCGGCGGGATCCACTGGCGGGACACTCGGCGGGATCCACGGGCGAGCCGCTCTGGACTTGGTGGGATTCACTGGCGAGCCGCTCTGGCGGGATGCTCGGCGGGATTGACTGGCGAGCCGCTCTGGCGGGATACTTTGGCGGGATCCACTGGCCAGCTGCTCTGGCGGGATACTGGGCGGGATCCACTGGCCAGCTGCTCTGGCGGGATACACGGCGGGATTCACTGGCGAGCCGCTCTGGCGGCATACTCGGCGGGAGCCACTGGCGAGCCGCTCTGGCGGGATACTCGGCGGGATCCACTGGCGAGCCGCTCTGGCGGGATACTCGGCGGGATCCACTGGAGCAGCTGTGGCGGGATACTCAGCGGGATCCACTGGCGAGCCTCTCTGGCGGGATACTCGGCGGGATCCACTGGCGAGCTGCTCTGGCGGGATATCGGGTGGGGGGCGTGGTGTAGAAGCATCGCAAACGCGGATTCCAACATACAACCCCTTCCTGCCGGGTGGGGAAAAAAAAACAAAACTCCCAGACCCCCAGCTTTTGGCTGCCACAGGCGCCACGCCAGACCGGCTGCTCACGAAGACGCGCTGGCCGATGCTGAAGCCTGGCAGGTTTTTTCTTCCGGCGCGGCCGTCTGCCAAGGGATCCCTTTCATGTGGGTGTTTTTTTTTTTTTTTAACATACTGTGGATGGACGAAATCCTGCACCAAGTTGAATCACACCAAACCACTATTTGTTGGTATTTACAGGGGAATCATCATTCCAGGGTTTCTTAGGTGGTGCAGGATTTCGTCCATCCACAGTACTGTTCCCCCAACAACAACAAAACGGTTGGTTTCCCCTTGGTTTCCCTTGAAAAACAACCACGACCAGAAAGGGTGGCCTCAAAAAAGGCACACCCGTTGAAACATGAACAACGGACTTGGGATTGGGCTGGCTCAATTGTTTTGTTGATGGATGATGGTGGATATCTCTAAATTATGATGCGGCGCTCGACTCTGTGAACAAACGAAGGCTGCAAAGAACAGCATCTGCTTGCAAGGGCGCTCAACTGGCAATCTAGGCATCTGTGGGTCAGCGATAACAACTGGGCTGCCCTCAGATCCCCCGCTAAAAGTTTAACTTTTAGTGGAATAAATGGAAAGTACCACTGAATACTAAGGGGCAAGAAAAAGTAAGGGGATGGCTGGGAGACACCAAGTTGTGTGTGCAGCTCGGATCAAACAAACAGCGCCCCCAATAACATGATTGGCATCGGCATTGGGCACAATTCCACGAGAAGTGTTTCCACAACCTTCTACTGAGCAAACCCCAGAACAGTTTTAACGTCGCTGTGCGAATACCTAAGGAAAACTGCGCGGAGAAGGGGCGACGGTGGTGCGTCCTTCTGGTCCACATCGCCAAGTTTTCCACAAACCCAATTCCTGTAACATGACATTCGATGAATACTTGAACTCTTTGGTCTTCGCCCTACGTTTCCCAAAAGGCAACCACATGTCGCAACACCCCCGAAGCGCCAAAAATGTTTGGGTGCAGATTGCCCATGTATTGGCGTGGCATGCAGCATGCCGTTCCTCGACCAAACAGTTTCACGAAGCTATCATACCTTCGTGCCGTTCCTCATATATGTCTTGTTTGCTTTCCAGGGAATCCACGGTGGCATGGACCCAAAAGGAAGAAGAAAATTCCCGCCTGCTTCTGCCATGACCGATGCATCAGCAGACGCTGGCAGCTGTGCTTCCGGTGAAGGATCCCTCTGCTCAGGGTGTTGAAGGGCTTGGGTCAAGCCGCTGAAGGGCAACGTTGGCCCTGACTCGCGTGCATGATGTTCGATGTCCGAATGCGCATTGCACCTGTTCCTTTCAAAACTCGTCCAAGACTCCAAGAACTTTGGAGTCAAAGGTTCCCAACCAGACTAAGGATCCCAATATCCCCATACTTCAGACACCACCTGCCCCGATTTCTTGCAAGGAAAAAAGCACGCGACCCAGGGCGCCACTTGAGCCGAGGCAAGCGGGGGCCGGCATCTCTGGGGGCACCCGCCCCCGCCGCTGGGCAAGCGCCGGTTCCGGGCCCGCAGCTCCCTCAGGCCGTCTGCGAAAAGTGACCTAACTTTTAGTGGGGCAAATGGAAACCCCCACCAAACTAAAAGGCTAAAAAGCAAAGGGAACCGGATGATTTGCTGGGAGAGCCACCAAATTGTTTGTACCCTGAAGATTTCTGTTGGGACAGTTTTTGAAGGGAAACCGAAAGGAGAACCAAAGGCAACAGTGGGGAGTCCGACTCCCCCAACAAAGGAGACAGACCCTACAGGTGGTCTTTCCAACTTCAGAGATGGGATGTGACGAAGGGCAGCATTGGTCCCCCGAGTGCCGTTCCTGCCCAGTGACTCCGCTGGATGTCCACGAGCCTGGCTCTGTTGATTCCCTCCTACAATTTATGGGGAGCTGATCGAAGCTATGCAGAACCGGAGCTGGTTCAAGTTCAAGGGTGACTGGAAACCGCGGTGCTGCGGTCCTGCGCGTCAGTCAGTTCGGGGGCTCTTCTGAAAACAAGCACAACTCGGGACCCCAGGAAACGACCCAGCAGGGCCAACAGCCTGACCAAAATAACAACCAGACCCACGGCTTCTGCGCATGAGTCCACCAGCAAAACAAGGCCCTGGAAAATGCCAACTTCAGGCACGCGCCTCAGGGCGAGCGCCCTCCAGGCTCCTGTCTCCGGAGAAGACAGGACCGATTTTTTTCGGGGTTGGGTGAGCCGGAGGTGCTTCGTCTTTTGACCCGGTGTACAGTTGGGTGAAAGTACATGGCGCAATTTGCAGAATTGGGTTTTGTCATGCCCTTTTCTTACCCAGACAAATTGTGCCATCCATATCAACAGTGGTGTAAGAGATGTACTGCGAAACCAAGCTCATCACGGCATAGAAGCCTGCTGGGCGGTCTCAGTTGGCTTCTCAGGGCACTCAGGGCAAACAGAGTCATGTCCTTCTCCATATGCTCCGTGTGACGCTCAGTCTGATTCAGCGGTTCCCAACTTGGCGGCCCCACCCGGTTTTTGAGGGCGTGTTCCGTACCCATGTGGGGGGCTTAAAGGGAAACAAAAAGGGAAAATGAACATTTCTGAGGGGCTCATCCAAAGACCCTCCCAGTCAAGCTTCCATTTGGATAAAGCCCTTGGAGAAAAAATCGGAAAACATGTCCAGTCATAAATTCGTTTTGAATCCAACAAGGGACAATAACAATAATAATAATTACTATTGTTATCTAAATAAGCTCAGGTGATATCCCCAACAGCATGCGGTGCTGTTTTTAGTGCTCACACCACCCCGCAGCCCTTGCAGAACCTCGTGGAACCCTGGTGGAACCCTGGTGGAACCCTGGTGGAACCCTCGTGGAACCGTGGTGGAACCCTCGTGGAACCTTACCTCAGGGCCGCCCCGGACCAGAGCCTATCTGGGCTGAGACCCCAAAGCTTTCAGCTGTTGGGGAGAAAAAAAGAACTTTGGTGGACCCTTCACCTGTCCAACCCCCAAAAATAACATAAACAAAGACTTGGTGGGCCCTTCTTTAAAAAAAAAAAAAGAAAGAAAGAAAAAAGACGCCCACCGTCTGAAGCAAGAGAGAAGTCTGATCGATCCCCGCTCTCAGGCCCACTGTCCTCGCCGGCCTTCGGAGAACCTGCCCAAGGCAAGCTTCAACTGGTGGCGGGGACCGGGTTCTCGGAGTCAAAACCCGGGACTAAAACCGTTTAACGTTGACGTTAGATTCATGTGGGGGTGTTCCCCTCCAAAAGTGATCAGTCCCCACTAAAACCAAAAACACCCCCATATTGATAGACAGGGGTTTATTAATCTGGGGTCAACCCAGAACCATGTAAAGAAATATAAAAACCGGCCGGCGGAGGCACCCAGTTCTGGCTGGGATGACTTGCTAACCTTCATCTACCCTGGTCTTGAGCAAGTGGCTCATCTGGAAGGCCGCGCTCATAGCCAGAGTTGCGCTTCTTTGGATGCGGCTGGTGCAGGAATCCACCCCCAGGATTCGGCTCTGGGGCGCGACAAGTGTGAGCCATTGACCATGTGCGTGGAGGTGGTCCGCCCCAGCGACATTTCTGTGAAGTTCCGATCCCTATGGATATTTCTGTGGGGTCCTCATGGTCCTACGGCCCGACCGGCCACGTCGGAAGACCCATTGAAACGTGAAGCCCTCGATTGGGTGAGTCATGCCCGGCCACCTTGGATCCACCTAGAGCGCCCCGGTCTCATGTCCTGGGGCAAAAGAAGCTGCGTTCGCCTTCGGAACTAGACAACCTGACCCACCTGCCCATACTAAGCCCATACTAAGCCTGCTCTGTGAAGCACATTTTTTTAGAGCGAAACCCCCAGGCTCCACGGTTTTAGCTCTTTCTGTTCGCTTCACGCCTCAAGTTGTCCGCCTGCCGAAAGGTCGGCAAAACCGCGGGGCTGGGAAGAAAGACTAGGTCCTCCAGAGAGATTAGAAAAAGGGTACCACCTTTTTTCTGTAGTCTGTTTTGGGAGGGGAACCGAATCTCCCCCCAAAAAGGAAACGGTCAAAGTTGCGGCACCAAGCTGGGGGACCTAGAAGACCAAGCCCTGGTCCCGAGTCCCAGGCTCGGCTTGGGCTGCGTCACGGAAGAGGCCACGCGCTTGCCCTTGAGGAGGCTCATCTCCTATCGGACCCCAAAAGCCAGGCGAAGGAAGCAAAACGACAAAGCGCCGGGCCAGAAACTGGGGCAATTCATCAGAATCCACCAACTACAGCAGAGCCAAAATAAAATACTATACATACATATATATATATATATATGTATATTCCAAAATGAAAACTGATCCAAGACATCTGACACACGATGAACGATCGATTGCACTAGCATGGCTGGAGCAAACTGGTGGTTTCCTCTCAACTCCTTCCCTGAGCATTCTAACTGCAGATGTTGAACACGCAAAATACCTACACTTCACGCGTGCTCTTTGCGAAAACCCGTCTGGAATCTTGCGTCAATCAGAGCATTTGCAGATGAACAGGCGTTCACCCACAAGAGAGAGGCTGTTCATCACAATGCCTCTTCGGCATGTTCTTCTTGTGCTCAAAAAAAGGGTTAAAGGGCACTACTGGGGGACCTAGTCTTTCATGTCAAGAGTAGCTTCCTTTCGGAAAAGGATGTCATGTCGGGAATTTGTTTGAAACAGCTTGGCTTCATCCAAGTCTAGCTTCCGAAGCCCAGGCTTCTGCTCAGGCAATTGGAACTGGATTCCCCGCCAGCCCCAGTGCGGGGTACCCCCCTCCCCCACCCTCCCCGAACACCCCCCCATTTAACTTACTTAAAGAAAAAAAGAAAAAAACAACAACAACATCCATCCCGCTCTCCTCGCAGACCTGGCCCAGCGCCTCCGTGAGGCCGTTCAGGCCCATCTCGTTGCCCTCCACCTCACGGGAGGCGCAGCTCTTGGCCGCGGCTCGAGCCCTTCGGCGAGACTTGACAGGGGAAGTCCAGTGCCAAAGGTCCTAGACATAGGTCTCCTTTTAGGGGTTTTCAAGGGATCCCTTTCATGTGGGTTGCTTAACATGCTGTGGATGGGTGCGAAATCCGTTCGCACCGCTTTCCTTTTGGGGCAAATAGATGGGTGTCCCTGGTAGATGATACTGAACCAGCAGGTAAACCAGGAATCGCCGTCTATGTGTCTACCAAAACAACCAAAAAGGACACCTATGGTCCTAAGCATGCGGGGGAACATCAGATTCAAAACCGATAGGTATCAAAATGGTCGTAATCTCAGAACAATGTGAAGACCTAAGCAGGCGGCACCCATTTCTGGTTGGGGCTGTCCCTTATCCTTCACTTCGGGTTCTCACATGTGGGGATGCCAGTTCGAAAGGATCTTATCTCGAGGTTGTTGGACATTTGCGGGGAAACAAACTTTTAGGTTCAACCGTTGAGGGAAGCAACTGCGAGGATCGGCGTGCCAGGGGCATGTGCCCGAACTGTGCAAAGAGGTGAAACATGGGAATGTGTCAAAAGGACCCCCCTCCCAAAAATGGCCGCGACGTCCAGTTTGTTGGCCGTCCCAATCTTGTGACCCATGGCCCCAAAAATCCGCGTCGAGACATCTGCAAGCCGCCTCCCTGGCCCCTCTCGCCCTCTCGCCCCTGGGGTTTTCTGGGCGATCCGAGCTCGGACCCACAGCTGCGTGAGGTCCTCGCTGAGGACCCCCAGCTCCTGCTCGAAACTCCACGGCACTTGCTCGAGCAAACGCTTTGGATTCGCGCTTTTCGTGGATCCTATTTGCCAGTCCTTCCCCCGAAGTCCCTTTTTGTTTGGTACTCTTTTAGTACTCTTTCAACATGCTACCGGGGTGGATCCACAAAAAACACAAATCCAAACCGTTTTCTAGAATGGCGTTCGCCGTCCCTAGTTCCCTCTAAACTAAAATGCCCCCTGCCCTGATGACCATTACCCCGAGCAAAAAGACGATTGCCACGTGGTGCCAGATGGCAACACCTGCGCTCCGCTCGCTCCTGCCGCAGCTGCGCATCGTGAGGTGCTGCGTTCATCGCCTCGCAGGGCGAGGAAGGCGATGTCATGGGATGGTTCTTTTGCTTCAGGCTAACTGATTGAAGGTTACAGAGAGGAAACCAAAGGGAAGCCACAGAGTTCCCAAACTTGGGGACATCCTTACGAAGCCCATAAGGCCGGTCCAAAAGGAGACTCCAACGAGTGTTAGTCTGATGCGAGCGCGTTCAGCAGCAATTTTGGTGTGGTTGCGTGCAAATCGTCACATCCTGCCTTTCATGCTTGCTGGTTCCAGTGGTGGAAAGCTGATTTGGAACTCAGCATCTGATCATCAAAGTCTGTAACCAACCATGGCAAGTCATTGCCTGAATCCCAGCTCGAAGTGTTGCTCCTCCCAGCTGTCAAGCTAGCATCTCCCAGTCCTAGCAGAGACTCCCCGTCTTTGAATCATGGCCCACTGGCGCATCTGGGCTTTCTCGTCGCCAGTCCCTTCGTCAGCTCCACATCCTCCCGAAATAGGCTCTAGGTCCTCCAGAACCGAATCTCCCCCAAAAAAGAAACGGTAAAAGTTGGCGCCAAGCTGGGGGACCTAGTAGATCTGGAGTGAATATCTTCTGCGGCCCCGCCCAGGCAGGACGGAGCTCCCTGAGATGAGTTTGTCCGTCAGTATGGCAAGGAACTCAAGTCTCTAGGATCTGGCGCGTCATCCTCTGTTCTCTCTGCTTCGTACTATTTGGTGGGGCGTGGAACAGAGGTCTTCATGCTTGCGCAAAGGGAATAAGGCTATTTTGGATGTTCCTGAGTCATGCACTCCTCTGAATCAGGAGGGCCAAAACAAAAAAGAACAACCAACAAAAAAAAAAGCAAAAAGGCTCTTCTACCTGCCCACGTGTGTTTGTGCGGGTTGCGCAAAAATTTCCAGGCAAGCAAAAACCCCACGCCCCGAGCCCGAACTGTGCGACCACCGAAATCAAGCCATAGATCAAACACGAGCTGCGGGTCATGTATCGCTGCTACATGGGGGGGGGGGGTAATAATTCCCCCAAAAGATGCACAATCTTTTCTGGGGATATGCAGTCATGGCAATCTGCCAGGGTTTTGTAGAAGTCCACCATATGAATCTGCACACAACATGGGCGGAAGCGCTCGTTGACCCCATGTGTGGTTGAACATGTACTCGTCCAAGGGCGTTTTCCCGTTGTTGCCTGGGTTTGGTGCTTTCGGTCCCAGTTTTGGACGTGACGGGTGTCAAGTGTCTCTCCAGACAGTGGGCAAACCTGGCGTGAACACTCAGATGCTTGACACCAAAAAAAGGGGCTTCGAGTGAGCACAACCATCTTCACTCGCGAAACATGCAACCTCTGCAAGAACCAGTGCAAATCCCCCAAACTGCCCCCAAAACCACCAATGATTAGAGAATCCCTAGCACCTAAAACTTCACGAACAGCCCCCCCTTCTCCCCCCGAGGCCGGCTCTCCCGCGACCGCCTTCTGAGCCTTCAGGGCCAAGCGCAAGGTGCGCTCCCCCACGGAGCCCACGTGCTGCTGCTGCTCACAGCTCCGCGCCAGATCCTCCCAGCGCGAGAATCGCTCGCTCAGACGCTCGCTGGGCTCGGCGGCTCGGCTCGCAGATCCCAACCCCCCGCTTCGGGCGTTGGGTATGGCTTCAAGGCAGTGCCTGGTTTGGTTTATTTCGGGGGAAACCTGGGATGCCCCCCTCCCCTTCCCCACCACCCCCCCGCTTCTGTTTTGTCCTAAAGCCCGATTGTGGGAGTCGCCACAGAGATCCCATGTTCAGCTTCCCAAATGGGTGCTGAAATTTAAGAGCCAGACTGCAGGTCTTCGTCTTCCCCGTTTACCAGGGTTCCATGTTGAGCCACGCCCATCATTCAGCTCCGCTGCAAAATTGGTGGTTTGGAGCCTGGTGGTGTGTGGTGCTTAAGAAGGGGGTTCCCATGTACCGTCAGGGCTTCAAATCCAAACCACCAATCCAAACCACAAATTAAGGGTTACCCTGACACATGAGTTGGGGGAACCCATCCACAAGTCGCCGGACTTCCTTCTTGCCCCAACCCCAAAAAATAAAATAGCGTGGGGCCCTGAAAAGCAAATCCCCGGCATTGGCCCTTCAAAACATCACCCCAAAGGAAACTCAAGTTCAAAGCCCCGAAAAGGTGATGTTGAGAACCGGCATTTCCTTGTCCCATTGAATTTGAAACATGGGTGCAGTTCCCTTTTTCAGGATGCCCTTTTGGGATTTTAAAGACTGCCTGCCTCTGCCTGTCTGCCTGAATGACTGACTTGCTAACGAACTCACCAACCAACTAACTAAAGAGGGAAGTAAATGACTAACCGACCAGCCAGGCAGTCAGCCAACCACTGACTGGCTAAGCAACGGACAAACAAGGGAACTAAGTGACGACTCCTAACCAACTCACCATCTCACCAGCCACCTAAGCAACGGACCAACCGTTGACAAAGCATACACATGCATAAGAGATACCGCTTCAAGAAATCAACAAATATACACTGGTTGACCGACCGGCATGCCAAGAATCATTTGGGACCTCTAGGCCAATTTCAAAAATTAAACACGTGGGTGTCTTAAAATGGACATCCAAAAAAAACTAGTTTCCTTTTGACTTCCTTTCAAACCACTCCAAAAGACCTAGCAAACACACACAAAAAGACGTTCCAACCAGCCAAAAACAAAGCTGAAAGCACCCAAAAGGGCAACCTTTGAGATGGGCATCCCTGGTAAATGGAACATCAAATCCATCTAAACTAGTACCCATCTATGTCTACCCAAACTCACCTAAATCAAGAAGGCCGCCCCCCATCGGGGTTTTGTATTGGTACGACCCTACCGTAACTGGACGTGGACCCCCTTGTTTGCCTTCTTGGCCCCTTCGATTCCAGGGGCGGACTTCAAGACTTTGAACCTTATGATCTTAGTGATAAGGTCCGAATCTCCCGGGAAAAAAAAAATGAACCTTCCTGAATCCCTATTTATCAGTCTAAAGGTCTTTTATACAGCACTTTCCCCAACGAGGCCACCCAAGGCGAGACCTGTTTTTCCGCCCGGCGCCCAGTCGGTCACCGGTCCCCGCTCGCCCGGCGCGGCGCCTGCAGCTCGCCGGCCAGGTCCTCCTGCCGCGCCCAGAGCTCCGCCGCCTGTGGTGGCTGGCCCCGCCCAGAGCGGGGCGCTGTTCGTGTTCGGTTCTGGGAAGCACCCGGAAGAAAAGAAAAAAGGCCAAGAAGGTGTTCCGCGCGTGCGCTTTTGTTTATAACCATTCTATATATATATAACATAATATGTATATATATATATATATATATATGGGGGGGGAACAGGGGCCCGGGAAGGGTGGGAAGGTGTGTTTTGTTTGGGTGGGTGTTGGGAGTGTGTTGTTTTTTGTGTTTGTGCACCATCGGGTTTTTTTGAGGAAACCAAAAGGAGAAACGTGTGGGAAGACTGAAAACTCAAAGCAAGCTCCATGTGTTTCCTTAAGGACCCGTGTTTTGGCCTGGTAAGTGAAATCAAAAGGACGCCATTCTGACACAAGTCCCGAACGATGTCCTTCTCCGCTCCGAATTCGTCGGGAGACAAGGCTTAGAGGCTTAGAAGTCCTGCATCCCAAGTTCGGGGGATGCTGAGGTTGCAAGCCGACTGGGCAAACAACGAAGAATGCGTTCGTGGAAAATCCCACTAGCCCAAACCAACCCCAACAAGGGTAACGGTACCATCAAAAGAAGACACGCATCACACGCACGAAACCAGAATGGTTGTTCTCTACTTTTTTCACGACCCAACCTATTCTGAGATTCTATCCCAATTCTGGGTTCCTTGCGCGATGCGCTGCTACCTTACTAAGTGAGAGGGCAGCCCCCTTCCCGCTTATTTCGTGTTTGTTGCCGAGGAACCGAAAAATCGGTCGGGTTCTAGGCTCAAGCCCCGCCTAAGTGCCAAAGAGTTCTGCAAGAGTATTGGTGGAATCAGATGGTAAGTCATCCGGAATGCTTCCTGACGTGTTCCACCCAAGTTGGGCAGAGTCCCCGAATACGTGTCAGAATGAAGTGGGAAATCAAGCCTTGCTCCATAGGCGTCCTTTTGGTTGGAAATAGATGGGTTTTCCTGGTAGATTGAACCACCAGGTAAACCAGGAATCGCCCGACTCATTGAACTCGGATTGGGCGGCTGGACAGATCCGATCAGCGCCTGCTCTTCCATGAAGCCCCGGTGCTCCTGGGCCAGTTGTAGAATGTTTGCTTCACTTTGAGTCACTGGTACAATGTAACATGTGTCCTAAGTCTACCCCACTCTCTTCAACCATCCTTCTCAAAACCAAGCCCTTTTCCCATGTCCGCTGGAAATCCGAGCTCCTTTGAGAGACCCAGCTCAAGTCCAAAACGGAACTCAGGAAGTGAGTATCTCCTTTTGGGCACCCTCAGGGAAAAAGGGAACAAGAGACCAGAAGCAAGAGGTGAACAGCGTTTGGGGCCACTAAGACTGGCCTCAAGGGGGCAACAGCAAGCCTTTGCTTCTTTCATGGGGGGGGGGGAGGGGGGGGAGGGAGGAGGGGGGGCAGCGAGCCCAAATAAGCCCTAAATGAGGCCTTATAAAGGGCTTCATGAGGGCTTCGTAAGGCTCCCTCCCCCTTCTCCTCCGCCAGCCCCAATGATTGTTTGGTGACCAAAGTTTGGAAAGGAACACCACCATTTTGGGGGTCCCCGAAATCAAGACACGGATTCTTCCTTCGCGGCGGAAAAACACGCCCAACGCGGCCCCGAAGTCACTCGAACCACGTCCTCTACCTCGCCACGCAGCTGGTCCAGCTGGGCGTACGCCTGAAACAGGACAAAAGCTTTCAACGTGTGCGGCCGGAATATAGTTCAATATACACATATATGTATATGATGTCTGTATGTATGTATGTATGTACGTACGTACGTACGTACGTACGTACATACATATGTATGTACGTATGTACGTATGTACGTACGTACATCCGTCGTACTTACGTATCTATGTATGTATGCACATATGTATGTATGTATGTATGTATGTATGTATGTATGTATGTATGTATGTATGTATGTATGTATGTATGTATGTATGTATGTATGTATGTATGTATGTATGTATGTATGTATGCATGCATGCATGCATGTATGTATGAACCTATGCACGTATGTACGTATGTACATATGTACGTATGTACGTATGTATGTATATACGTATGCACGTATGTACGTATGTACGTGTGTATGTGGGTATGTGGGTATGTACGTACGTACGTACGTAGGTATCTATGTATGTATGTATGTATGTATGTATGTATGTATGTATGTATGTATGTATGTATGTACCGATGTATGTATGTGTGTATGTATGTAGGTAGGTAGGTATGTATGTATGTATGTAGGTAGGTATGTATGTATGTATCAATGTATGCATGTATTTATCTATGAATGCATGTATCTATGTATGCATCTCGGTCTGTCTCTGTCTGTCTCTGAGTGTCTCTGTTTGTCTCTGCCTGTCTTTGTCTGTCTCGGTCTGTGTCTGTCTGTGTCTGTCTGTCTCTGTCTGTCTCTGTCTGTCTCTGTCTGTGTCTGTCTGTCTCTGTCTGTCTCTGTCTGTCTCTGTCTGTCTCTGTCTGTCTCTGTCTGTCTCTGTCTGTCTCTGTCTGCGTCTGTCTGTGTCTGTCTGTCTCTGTCTGTCTCTGTCTGTGTCTGTCTGTCTGTCTCTGTCTCTCTCTGTCTGTCTCTGTCTGTCTCTGTCTGTCTCTGTCTGTCTCTGTCTGTCTCTGTCTGTCTCTGTCTGTCTCTGGCTGTCTCTGTCTGTCTCTGTCTGTGTCTGTCTGTCTCTGTCTGTCTCTGTCTGTCTCTGTCTGTCTCTCTGTCTCTGTCTGTCTGTCTCTGTCTCTGTCTGTCTCTGTCTGTCTCTGTCTGTCTCTGTCTGTCTCTGTCTGTCTCTGTCTGTCTCTGTCTGTCTGTCTCTGTCTGTCTGTCTGTCTGTCTGTCTGTCTGTCTGTCTGTCTGTCTGTCTCTGTCTGTCTGTCTGTCTGTCTGTCTGTCGCTCTGTATGTATGTATGTGTGTATCTATGTATGTGTGAATGCATGTATGTATCTAACTATGTATCTATCTATCTATCTATCTATCTATCTATCTATCCATCCATCTATCTATCTATCCATCCATCCATCCATCCATCAATCTATCTATCTATCTATAGATATATCTATATATGCATGTATGTATGTATGTATGTATGTATGTATGTATGTATGTATGTATGTATGTATGTATGTATGTATGTATGTGTGTATGTATGTGTGTATGTGTATGTATGTATGTATGTATGTATGTATGTATGTATGTATGTATGTATGTATGTATGTATGTATGTATGTATGTATGTATGTATGTATGTATGTATGTATGTATGTATGTATGTATCTATGTGTCTATGTATCTATGTGTCTATGTATCTATGTGTCTATGTATCTATGTATCTATGTATGTATGTAGGTATGTAGGTATGTAGGTATGTACGTATGTAGGTATGTACGTATGTATGTATGCATGTATGCATGTATCTATGTATCTATGTATCTATGTATGTATGTATGTATGTAGGTAGGTAGGTAGGTATGTAGGTATGTAGGTATGTAGGTATGTAGGCATGCAGGTATGTGGGTATGTAGGTATGTAGGTATGTCGGTATGTGGGTATGTATCTATGTATGTATGTATGTATGTATGTATGTATGTATGTATGTATGTATGTATGTATGTATGTATGTATGTATGTATGTATGTATGTATGTATGTATGTATGTATGTATGTATGTATGTATGTATGTATTTTTGTAGGTATGTAGGTATGTAGGTATGTAGGTATGTATGCATGCATGCATGCATGTGTGTATGTACGTGTGCGTGTGTCTGTAGGTAGGTAGGTTGGTATTCAGGTAGGTAGGTAGGTAGCTAGGTATGTATCGATATCTCTATGTGTATATGTATCTATGGATCTGTACATCTACGTAATGTATCAGTGTATCTATGCATCAAATGTACTTACGTATCAAATGTATCTATGTACCAAGTGCCTCGATGTACCTATGTATCTATGTATCTATACATCAAATGTATCTCTTTATCTATGCATCACATGTATCTATGTGTTAAAGGTATCTATTCATCTACGTATCTATGTATCAAATGTATGCATGTATGTATGTATATACATATATGTATGTATGTATGTATATATATACAGATGAACAGACACATACATATATATATATATATATATGTAGGTGTATATATATATATATACATATGTATATTCTGTGTGAGTGTGTCTTGAAGATGCCGCTTGTGTTTTTGATGAAGGGAAACCAAAGGAGAACCACCTGTTTTTGTTTCTTGTGATTTTTTCTGGGGGGGGGGGGTCCCCTAAAACAAGACGAGCCACCCATACCAAAGGACACGTTAAAGCTGGGGTTCGCCCCCTTCGATTTTTGTGGGAATCGCCCGAATGGATGGACTGAGATCTTGACCCGACCTATGAAGACCGCCAAAATGGGCTCTGGCTTCACGCCGTGCGAGGAAAAAGACATGCCTAGATGTCCAAGCCAAAAGCAGCCCAACAAGAAACTCACCACATACGTAGGACTTTCTAAATGGTGGCTTTACACCCTGGACAAAGGAACGGAAGGGACGCTGTGAGAACATGGGAAACAGTGAAAGAGAAGGCTGGAAGCTGAAGCGTACCTGTCGCTGTGGCTACTTGGACCCTCGTACCGGTACCAGGAATGTTGGAACTCCAAACCGATTTTCGGACTGACAAAGGTGGATGGGGGCAAGCTCGAAAACCATTCACAGAACCACCGCTAAGGTTGCCTTAGGAAATGACTTTGATCCTAGAGACATATGGGGGTGTCCAAAGAAATCGGAAGCCCGTTTGAATGGCTTCTGAAACGGGGAAAAACCAAAAGCTGATCAAAAGGAAGGGCACCATGCTAGCAAAATCCTTATCTGCGCCGAGTCTGACCTTCAAATGCTCAGTGCCGTGCCGCCGCGGAGGGATGGCCGTCCCAAGGCCCACATCTTGAAGTTTGAAGACTCGGGAACACATGGGTGTGGCTCAAAATTAAACAGGGGGGGTTACGCGGGTTTTAGTCTTTGGTTCCATTTACCAGGGTTCCAGTTTGGTACCAGTTTTTTGAGCCACAGCCACATCAACATTCCGCTGTGCTGAGGTCTAAAAAAATTGCCCGCTCTCACCAGCGAAAGGCACTTGACTGACGTGACTCAAGTCTAAAGCTCCCGTGACATAGGCGTAGGCTTGTACCCCCATGGACATGGATACATGCTCTGTTGCGCGGGCAACCCAGGGACCCGGAATTGCACATATGTTGAAGGAAGGTATTCTGAGGCTAGTTAGGGGGAGCCACTCACATTGACTTGGCCTGGAAACCAGGGTCAGGGATTGGAGGCGTCTCCAAACGTGGGAACCCCCCAAAATAGGTTCCTTTCCAGTGTACCCTTTTCGCTTGGAATGTGAAGGGACGCCAGAAGCAAACCAGCCGTGTTGGGGGTCCCCTAAAAAAGACGAGCCACCCGTATGGCTGTGGCTCACCAAAATAGCACCCAAAATGGGGGGCACCTCGGTAAATGGAACCAAAGACTAAAACCTGCGTAACCCGAGCTGCCTGACTTTGAGCCACACATGGCCATGGGTCAAAACCCACATCGGTTCCCCCCAGTGAACCTCCACCGAAAACCCCAAACCGGGATCCCAAAACGGTTTTGAGCCACGGCCTGCGGGCTTTCGCCTCAGCCTCCGCATGGCAACCGAGGTCCGACGCCTCACCCAGCTCCAAGTCGGAGACGCTGGGAAGGCTCGCCTCGAACCGATCCGGCCCGGAATGAGCCAAGAGGTCCTTTGCTCCCGTGGAAAAAACGCGGCTTTGGTGGATCCGCCCTCACTAAAATCACTACAACAGTACGAAAAGACCCAAAAAACCAAAAGGGGCCAACAGGGGGAAGACTAGATTTGGGGTGTACGGGAAGCTACCCGCCACTTCGTTGCTGTCTACTCGAAAAGGGTGAGTCAAGTCGACTATACAAAAGTGTAGGCTTCGCTGTAGAAACAATCAAACACCCTTTTGTTCAAGGCAAGCCAGCGTAGAATCACCGGAAACCCCCGAAATGTGGCAGTCCGCAAACCATTTCAACCAAAGTGCCTCATAGAATCTGGTTCCCCAAAACACACCTGGACATTTAGATCAGCATGGCCCAACCACGACCACACAGCTTTCCGTCCCAAAGAAACCTGCCAACCAAAAATGGGGAGTGGGTCCAAGGTGACACCCTCCACTCTGCTCTTCTGTGTTTGGCACCACCAAGGACACAAAAACTGGGAAGAAGGCACCCTGTTCTCTCTTCTCTCTCCTGTTTATGAACCTCCCATTTTCCCTTTTGACATGTGAACCAAACAAGCCCGGCTTGGGCCTCGATGATCAAAAAAAGGGCCTGTCTCCCCCCAAAAACAATCCAAGCGCGGCTTCACCAACTCCAAGTCTCGGGCTCCAAAGAAAGAAACAAAAAAAAATGAAGAAAAAAAGAAGAAGAAAAACGGCTCGCCAGCCAGCACCCGGGTCCCAACTTTGTTCCATCTCCAAACCCCCCGTTTTGTCCCCCCAGAAACGCCGCCGGGGTTGCCAAGCCTGCGTGTTGCGTGCCAACCTTTGCAGGCCTTTGACTTCCCCGCGTCACTTCCCTTTTTGCGCCTGGTTTTCCTGGGCTCCAAGGCAACAAAGGCGCAACCCAAAAGGCCCACATCCATCGACCCATCTACCGCCAATCCCAAGCTGAAGGCGCGGGCAAAACAAAAAGCAACAGCCATCGACCGTACTACCGCTAAAATCAGGGCCACCCATTGGTTTAAACATGTCTAAACCACTGGTTCTCATTCAACTCTTCCCTTGCAAAAAATAGGATTTAAGCCTTTTCTTTTGCCCCCAGCTTAGCGCCTCCCAGGTGAGCAGCGCTTGCCGACCCGAAACCCGAAACCCCGGTGGGCAGAGCCCAAACCGCCCTCCACTTCCCGCCTCCAAGCGCTGCAGCCGCTGCTCCTGGCCCTCCAGGCGCAGGTCCAGGCCTCGCCGGCGGCCGAGCGGCGGCTTCGGTTTTGCGCTGGGGGGAAACCCAAAAGGTGGCGCCATCCGCCCGGGGCGGATAAAACTTCCTCTTTTTTCAACCTCCAGACTGCCCAAAATCCCAAGGACTTCTGTTGACTCAGCGCCCAAACTCCCCAAGTGCTCCTCAAAAAGTACGCGGCTTTGGCTCTGGGGGATTTTGGGGGGTCCCCCAAAATCGCTACCCTTCCAAAATCGCTACCCTTGACGGTGGTTTCTTAAGCTGAACTTCCGGGGTGCCAAATGCTTGAGACAACGCTTTGCCTGGAGCAACAGGGGGCCCTCCTGAACGAGAGGCTTCAAGGCTTGCCTCTACATATCTCGATCCGCCATCGCGAGGCGCATCGCGAGAAGCCCATGCGCCTTCGCGCCAAAGAAAACCGTTTCAAGGTCAAGCCCCTTGACCTTGGTTAGCCCCTTCGAAGCGGCCCCTCACGTTGATTTATGCTTCAGCGGCACCCGCCGAAAATTATGTTTGTCGAAGTGACGATTCATGCAAAGGGCGGATTTTGTTGAGTAAAAGTCTAAAACACAGCGGGCGGTTGGAGGGGCCCCATGAGGGTTCCCTTGAAGCCTTACTTCCGGGCTTCAATAGCCCTTCCACAAGTATGGTTGGAGGGAGGGTACGCCTTTTACAAAACTAGAACACCATTCCCATGTTCGCAATTAAAGAGGATGATCAAACCTAAATGGAGAGGTTGTGCCATCTATCTTCGCCGAACCAAGTTCATAGCGACTAACACTTGCCATGTGTGCAATACTTGCGGATTTGATGTCCGGGGCCAAACATGTAAGCTGCTAAGAGTTTCCGTGCTTTGAGCCACTTGGTGGACATCATTTGAAGTTGTTCGCCGCGAAGCTCGCCGGCCGTGCCCATTGGCCAAAGTATGAGTTCGATCAGTGGCCTTTGTGCCTTGATCAGGCCAAAGGCTTTTGCCAGTTTGGGCCACGGAAAACTGCAAAGATGAGGGCTCCATCATCTTATCATAGCTTGAAAAGGCTACATTATTTTACCATGTTAGCTCAAAGTGGGAACAGCCTCTGACTTTGACAGCCATGCTAATGCCCGGAACTACCCCGCCTGCTGTGTTGGCCGGCATCAGGGTCTGGCAACGCGGCTCCCATGACAAGGGACAAGTCTCAACTGGTGTCGTTCGAAGAAATCGACCCGAGAACCGACCTGCGGATCGTTCCAGGCACGCCCATTCCACATGATTGCTGATTGAGTTCCAAGGAAGTTCAGCGGGATGATCCCAGCGCCGAGACGCCAAAGTCATCACCTTCGAAACATGCCCATAGGGGGGCAGGGACAGGAATCCTAGAAAGGACATCTACAACCACCACAAGGGGAACATAAAGAGCCCCACCAGCACCGTCAAGTCATGCCAGCCTCCTGCCAAGTCTTTGAGCTTGTCAGCAAATCACAGGGGACCCACATCAAACGCAGATGCAAAGGAAATAAACCAGCTGGAAGGGTGCCTTGTACTCAAGAAATGTGAAGTCCCACTAAGGAAGATCCGATTGATCCGGAGTCTTCGCGAACCCCTGACTAGGCAAAGAGTTCAAGCAATCCCATGCAACTTGGCCCCGCTGGTTTTGCTTGAACCCAACTCTGCATGTGATCCCTTTTGGATCATGCATCAAGGAACGACATGTTCCATTCTCCCCCCCCTCCTCAACAAAAACAAAGGAATACTTCCCCGACCCGGACTCCGCCCCAGCCCCAGCGGAGCGTTGGCTAAGACCCATAGCTGTCGCTGTGGACTGCAGCACGCCGCGGGAGGAGTTGGTAACCCCTTTTTGTCGATGCGTTTTCTTTCTCTCTCTCTCTCTCTCTCTTTTTTTTTCTTCGGGGGGGGGGGGGGGTACTGGTACCCCGTTTAGGCGCAAAGGAAAAGGACAGCAACTAGGGGACCCCCTCCCGCTCGCCTCCTCAAGGCCCGCAATGTCCACTTGCCTCGACTCGACTCGACCGCTCGCCCAAGCGGTCGAAGGCAGATGGGACCCGGGGATCAAGCGAGGACATCGCTGCCTAGGCGTGGGCCTGGCACCAATCAAAACCCGGTACAAAAATGATGAACCCAGAACAATGTAAAGGATTAAGAAGGCGGATATCCGCACCCATTTATCATCTACCCGGGCGTTGATTGTGACTCGGTTGAGTTCAGTGTGGTAGCCAGGCCACTTTGTTTCGGGAACTTGCAAACAATTAGTTGATTTGCGGAGGTTTAAAAAAAAAAAAAAAAAACGGCAAGAAAGGGGGCTGCCCTTCAACTGGGAGTGGTTGCTGTGTTGAGGGTACCCCTCTTTTGCTTGGGCTTTAAAGCAAAAGGGCAAAAGGACAACACCCGGCCTTTCGGGGGTCCAACAGGGCTATCCTCAGATCCCCTAAAAGTTTGACATTGAGCGGGTTCACCACGTTACTCTCACTTGCCCAAAGGAGTTGGAAAACAAAGGTTAACCTTTTGGTACCTCTACGAAAAATGGACCAAAATGGGAAAACTAAAAGGTCAACAGGTCGGCTTTGGGCAACTGAGTACTATTCCAACAAGCCACTCACAAGCTAAGGGACCGGGGGCGATTTACGCTTTTTTGAACCACAAAAGCTGCCCGATCTCAGCGGTGACCGGCCCCACACCGATCCAGCGAGCCTACTCACTTCCAGGAGCTTGGCATCCAGGTCAGCGATCTGGGCCGACCTCACGAGACGAAAACCGACTTCCCGCGAGCGGTCTTCCTTTCCAACCCATGGGCAGCTCGTCCTCTTCGTTTTCCAGACCCCAAAATGGTGGTCTTCCGTTGGCGTCCCTGTCAAAACTACAACAAAAAGGTACTCTCAAAAGGAGCCACACTAAGATACTACGGTGAGGCACTAAAGCAAAGATCCCCTCATAGATCTCTGCACAACATCTCTCTTTGCGAATCTCTTCACAGGATCTCTTTTGGAGGAATCCAGCAAAAATGTGTCTTTTGCCGGCTCTTTGCAAACACAACATGCACAAGGTCTCTTCCGAAGGGTCCACGTCAGCCAGGTCTCTGCGGCTCCATTTGGACCGTAAAAGCTCCAGATTCCTTGTGAGGACATCTGCAACTCTGTGTGCTTTTTGTTGTCAAGGTTCTGCAACATCTCTCTGGAAATTATTTGCAAGGTTGGCAAGGTCTCAAGACCTTCTCAGACCCTGAAAGATCTTTCGGCCAGATCTCTTGTAGAAACTATCTGTCAGATCTTCGTACAAGATTTCGGTTAGAAATCTGCGGATCTCTGTGGATGTCTGCAAGATCTCTGTGCAAGATCTCTTTACAGGACCTCTGCAAATTCAAGATTTCTCCTTACGTTAAACAAAGTCAAAGTTGGCTGGGTGTCCAAAACTGAGAGCCTTGTAGGGAGAGGGTCACCTTTGGAAAAATAGATAAGTATAAAGCCCATCCAGGAAGGCGAACTCCTCTGGGTGCTGATTGCCCAAAAAAAAAACTCGCGAAGGCCGCAACCGGAAGTGACGCGTGGACCTCGCCGTCGAGGAAAGCCCGGCTGCAGCTGGCAAAGAATCGCCGACGAGACTCCGGGTGAAAAAGGTCCCGAGGGAACCCAGAAATCCGCCCCGGTCGAAAGCGCGGCCTGCCTTGAGGCATCAGAAATTCGACGGAGAAGGCTGTCTCCCGCATAGGTGTCCTTTTTGGTTGAAAATAGATGGATATCCCTGGTAGTTGATTGAGCCACCAGGTAAACCAGGGATCGCCCGACCGATTTTTCAACCAAATCAACCAAAAAGGACGAGCCCTATGACCATGGCATGTCAGCCACATAAGGAAGCGACGGCCAGGGCTCCCAGCGATCGGTTCACCTGGCTTTGTAGCTCCTGGACCCGTCGAGAGTCCTGCCAAAGCTGTTGCCTCGCTCTTCTCGGCCCGGCTGCTTGCCGCTGTTAAGGTTCGCTTGCTTCTACAAGTGAGTAGGGTGGGGCCACCCATTGGTTTAAACGTGTTAAACCACTGGTTATGATGATTCTTCCCTGGTAAAGGTGGTGTTTCACCCATATTTTGCCCCACCCAGCAAGTGAGTCACTTGCTCAAAACCCGGTACTAAAATGGTGTACCCAGAACCATGTAAGGAATTGAGAAGGCTGCGGAAGCTATTTATGGCTTGGGATTGTCCCTTACCAACCTTCGTCTACCCGGGTTTTCATTGTGGCTCAAGTCGGTTTCACAGGCTGGGGTCACCCACAGTGTGCACAGTCATCCTTCAAGCAACTGGTTGTTTTCGTCGCTCTCCCAAAGCCATTAGTAGGGGAGTCCCTTAACGTGGCGAAACATCATTACCGAGTTGCTGTTACTAAGCAGGTTACTTTAGATGGTTGTTTCGTTTAGCTTGAGAGACCATGCTAACTGGTAGGCTTCAACTGCCCATAGCTCAACACAAACGCGTCGCAGCTTGCGGTTCAAATGAGTTGAATTAATCGGGCCCCATAACGACGAGGAAACAACTAAACGGGTATCCATGCCGAGCATCTGTGTGATCCCACACACAACACCACACCACATGCCAAACATACCACACACGACACACCACACACCACATACCACACACAGGTCTTAAAAAGAGACACGCCCATCTGTTCCCTCCCCCATCTTGGCCAGTCCGCCTCCATCCTGGAAGCGCCGCCGCCTTTGCCCTGGCACGGACTCAGCCAGTCACACCTGCCTCCAGCTGCTCAGCTTGCCAAGTCTTCCCAAGCAACAAATGGGTTTGGGTCAAAAAAAGGCATCCAAAATGGAACCCTGGTACATGGAAACAAGGACTAAAACCTGCGTGTGTTTTTTTGTGGTGGTTTCATTTCACCCATGCCCAGAGGGCCAAACATGCGTGCAGCTCCGTCGACAGCAAGTTACCGGATCAAAGGCAGGACGCGTGCTGCTTGGGTGGGCGGAATGCACTGCGAGGAGTGTCTTCTGTGTCACGTGTGGATAGTCCTTCCCTCAAGGCTTGACCCTTGATTCTTTAAAGAACTACAGAGAACCCTCAAGGTTTGATAGCAAAACAGAGAACCACCTCCTCTTTTTGTTATGCCTTCTACACTAGGGCGCCCCTAAATTTTATGCAAAAACAGTGCCTTTGTTCAGGGGACCCCGTTTTCGCGTGTCTAAACCCTTCTTTTCTTTTTGCTTGCTTTCCTTTTTTTTCTCGGGCAGGAGATTCCCCTAAAAAAACGGACATACCCCCCCCCAAAAAAGCGGGGTCCAAAAAGGGCAGACGGTGCTCACGCCGACTCCACGACCCGAACCGCGCCTGGGAGTTCTCTGGGCGCCTGCCAGTGCTGCTCGGGGAATTCGGAATGCGCCGTGGGTTCGGACCCCTAGAAACATACGGTGGCTGTTTAGGACCATAGGGCTCGTCCTTTTTGTTTGCTTTGGTAGAAACATAGACGGCGATTCCTGGTTTACCTGGTGGTTCAGTATCATCTACCAGGAAAACCCTAAAAGGAGACCTACTGTGGCTGGACGAAATCCTGCACTCGCACCACCTAAGACACCCTGGAATGATTCGATTCCCCTGTAAATACCAAACCATGGATTCCCTTTATTTCAAAGCGGTGCAAGATTTACACCCACAGTAGGTGCCGGCGTCTTTTGGTTTCCCCTGCCCAACCCCCCCTGAACACTTCCCCCCCCCCCAAACAAAGCGGTTCCCATAGGTGTCCTTCTTGGTTGGAAATAGATGGATATCCCTGGTAGTTGATTGAACCAGGCAAGCCAGGGATCGCCCAACCCATTTGTTCAACCAAATCGACCAAAAAGTGGACGAGCCCTGTGCCTTTTTCACTGTCCCTTGTGATCTCCTTTCAGGGAACCCCTCGGCTCAGTAGGGAATGACACATGGAATGGCCCCAAGAAAAGCCGTCCAGCTGGTGGTTTCCTTTAAAGGGAATCCCCACATTCCCTAATGAGCACCAGAAAGAAGAACATCTGTACAACTACAACCCAAATGTTATGGGCTTGCAACAAACTTGTGTGTTTTTGCAGCCTGCTAAAAATAAACATAACCAAGAAAACAAAAACAACTAAACACTTGCCAACAACAGTGAAGACATGGGTGTGTCCTTTTTTAGGGGACCCCCCATATTGTTAGTGTCGTGTTGGTTTCATTAGACAAGCATCCCAAACAGGGTACCCTGAAAACAACAATCAGACCCACATGGAATGCTTCAAAAACGGAATTCGAGAAGCAAACAACAAGACCAACAAAAAGCCAGGTTGTGCCTGCTTCCGAGCATTGGCGAACTTCGTCCTGTTTCGTATACTTCGAGCCCATTCTTTGGCCCTGCAACCTTCATGGTTTGCCAACACGTAACGCCAAACCCGGTAAACCCAAACGTGGTCCTCCTTGCATGGGATATGCACAAGGTGTTTGAAACAGCATCTTCATCTCTAGCGTAAGCAACACCCAGATCTGAGCCCGGTATGCATGCATGAGCTCCACCTGGCGCATAAACTTTCACCAAACTCAATTCGAAGTCGCTCGCCTGATCAAGTCCTGGACGGTCTCCGCAAGGCTATCCACCTCAAAAAAAAACAGCCGAATGGGCCCCTGCCAAGCGCCCATGAGGAACCTGCCAAGCCAAGGACTCATATTGGGGTCCAGGCTAGGCACCTGGTTCTGAAATGCATCCAATGGTTGCTGTGATACCCTTGAAAGACGTCACGTAAAACGCAGCTTGCAAACCATTGGTACCTTGGCCTTCCAACCTATAGCCCGTGTGCAATTGCGCAACTCCTCGAAAATCTCCGAAACATCGCAACGTTTCCAAGTTTGGCCGTAAAATCTGTAAACGACGGGAAATGCGGGAGCACCCGAGGTTCATTCAAAATTACCCCCTTCGAGCCCCAAGCGTGGCCCTGCAGCTCCGCCCAGTGCCCGCTGGCTGCGCTTTGGGCAGCCACCTACGTGCGCTCGCGCGCGGATTCGCGCGCGCGCGGACGGCGGGAGACGCCGCCCAAAACATGTTGAAGTTCTTACGGATGCACATGCTGGTGACTGCAAGTGCTGGAGCTATGTTCATTTTGGCTTGCGTCTTTTGTATATGCCTTTGTGATTGTGTGCCGGTGTGTCTGTGTGCATGTGCGCGTGCGTTTGTATGTTGTTTTCATTTGCAATCGCCATGATTTGTAGCGATGACCCCTGGTCTTCTAAGTACAAGTGGGAATCTTATTTGTACGACTACTGAATGCCACAGTGTGTCGGGGATGTTTGGAGGGTACCAACAATTGTAATCAATGACCAGGGTATGTGTTTGCACACGCGCCTAAGCCCTCCTTGTTGCTTCAACACTTGGAGGTGTGTCTTTTGGAAGAGGGTACCTCTTGTTGCTGACTTTAATACAGGAAAGCCAAAAGGAAAACCACCCCATTTAGCGGGTCCCTCAAAGACAGACGCATCTGGGGCACGTGAGTCAAAAATATAAAGGCCCGACATCAAAATGGTCAGGACCAAAACCAATGTCAAGAATCGAAAAGGCGGATCTCGGCACCGAATTCTGGCAAGGGAGACATGCCTCTTCCCCTCCAAATACCCGGGTTTTCAGCAAGCGACTCACAAGGAAACCATCATTTAAGTCACTTCCTGAGTTCCTGGACCTCACTTGTTGCTTTTCGACCATTTGGGTGGCACTCAAATGGCGTGGTGACCTTTTTTGGGGCCATCTCATACAAAATGAGTTCAGCAAGACTGGTGATAACTTGCTGGCGCGCTTGCTCGCAGGGAATGAGGGAACCCTTACAAACTATCCCTGGCTAGTTTCCTTTATTCGGCAATCCCAAAAAGGGTTCCTTCCCACCTTCGCCACTCATCGCGCCAGCAAGTTTTGGTGAAGGGGGGGGGGCCACCCATTTTTTGCTGGATCTCTCGATAGGGGCCGAAATGACATGGAGATTTGGAGGTTCCCATCTGGCCATGGGTCAAAACCCAAATCGTACCCCCAGTGAACATCCCAATCCCCACCAAAATCAAGGTCTAAAATGGGTGGTGAACTCACCTACCCGAAAATAGTAATGTTACCATGGCTTTTGACCCACGGCCCATCTCTCCAGTGCTGATCTCCGAAGCCATGGCTCCAGATCGACTCGGCTCCAGCCTCCTCGATGCGGCGCTCCAGGCGCTCCAGGCGGCGCTCCATCTGCCGCCGCGTCTCCTGGCGCGTTCGGAGCACCGCGAGGCGCGGCGCGGAGTCGGGGCGGGCGGGGAAAACACGGGGGTTTGGGCACACCGCACTCAAGAAGCAGGGGGAAGATATGATGCTTTTGGCCGGGGAAATAGGGCGCATTCCGCACTTTGAGGTGAGAGTCGCCCCCTCGTGCAGGAGGTTGGTCAAGCGGAAGGCGTCGAGACCCAAGATGACTTGTTGGAGGCCTGCCAATCCAAGAGGTGTCCAAAAACGTTCGTTCCATGCCACCCCTTCCAAGTTGATCCTCTGGTTGCCCTTCTTGGCAGGTGGAAACGGGTCCCAGCAACCCATGGGGTCTCCAGTTCGCAGAGATATCCCTAATTTGCTTCCCTGGTAAACGGATGGCACAAAACCAATCCAAACCAGTGGCTTGCCCATCTATTTCTAATCAAACTCACCCATCAAAAGGACGCTCTTGACTCTTGACTCTTATTTTCCAAAGTGCCCCAAACCGAAAAGATGGCATAAATCATAAAAATAATTCTAAACCAGTGGCTTGCCCAGCTATTTCTAATCAAGCCAACCGATTAAAAGGAAAAATCCACCGATTTGCAAGCTCGGCGCTGCGCAGGGTACATTTTGGGGCAGCGGTTGAAATGGAATCCACTTCCGTGACACAACAGAAAGAGCCTGACCCCAAAGACATTTTCCCCTCAGAAAAAAGGGGGAGAAAAAAAACCAAAGGTATCACAGAAGTGGTTGGAATTTACTCCTAAACCTGAAAAAAACATGGTGGGTACCTTGGAAACTAACAGTTTTCCTTTGGTCTCCCTTTCTCCGGAGTGATCCACCAACACCCTGAATCGGGCTTTGCTGTCGGCTCCCCTTTCATCGGCCGCCTCGATCTGCTGCTCGAGGCGCCGCAGCGCCAGGGAGCTCCGCTCCGTGGCGGAGCCATCGGAGAAGTCCACCTGGCTGTGGGGCAAAAACATGTGGCCATGGGTCAAAACCCAAATCGTACCCCCAAACATCCCATTCAATCCAACCACCAAAATAGGTTCTAAAATGGGTGGTGAATTCACCTACCCCAAAATGGTACCCATGGTTTTGACCCACAGTCATGTACCATCATGGCCCTAATGGCACCTTGGTACATGGAACCAAAGACTAAAACCTGCGTAACCCTAGCTCTTTAATTTTGAGCCACACTCACCTGAAGCCCGAGGATCCTTTAAAAAATGTCAGATGGGAACCCATGAATTCAATAAACCCCTGGTTTAGGATAACTTAAGAAGGGGCATTCTGCTTCCTAAGTGTGGGCAGCTAGAAAACGGTTTTCCCGTTCGCGCTTTTTTGTGGATGCTACCTGTTCTTCCCCCTGTTAGTCCCGTTTAGTAGTACTCTTTAGTACTCTTTCAATACTCTACAGGGGTCAATCCACAAAAACCACATCCAAACCGTTTTCTGGAGATGGACGCCCGGATTAATGCACCCTTGGTTGAGTAATAAGGGGGTGCTCCCTTTGGGTGCAAATTCAGACCACTTTTGGAGCGGACACCCATCCCCGTTCAATAGGAGGAGTTTATTCAGTTTGTTCATGCGTGCTCTCAACGTTGGACCGGACGCATCCTCTTGCATACCTACACAAAGAATATGAGGTATGTACTGCTTCCTTCTTGTTGGGATTGCCAAGCTGCACGGTTCGATGGGGCCATGAGCACCTTTCCATAAGACTTTGGCCCCAAATCGCATTGGCTAAGACCCCGTGTCGCCGTTGAGCAAAAAAGGATTTTGAAAGTTTCGCCTCATGTCGCGCAACAATACAATCATATTGCTTGCAAGGCTTAGTGCTAACGTGGTTGGTTGGCGTGGAAAGTTTCGAAGGTGCCCAAATCCGCCGGCGGGTTTTGCTCCTTGAAAGCCGTTTGTGCCACGTAAAGCATGTGCCCTGAGTTCCACCCAGCCATGCCAAACATCTGACCCCTTGATTTGACCAAAGCTTGGGGGTGTCAGAGGGAAATCAAAAGGAACACCTTGGTTGCTGTTGACCCCCCTGCAAAAAGTTGTTCACTTTTTGGGGGTTTAGTGGAAAACCTCTTGATTTCCAAAAAGTTAAAGTCTAAAGATCCAACCCAATAGCAGGCAAGACACCACCATTTTGGGGGTTCCCCTGAATCAAGACACTGTTGAAGAGGAAACCAAAACCCAACCGTCTTGTGTGATATTCAGAGGAAAAATACGCCGCGAAACACCCTACATTGTTACATTGGCGAGAACACCTCTGAAGTCATCTGCATATGTGTTGAGTGTTCAACAAAACATGTATATATATATACATATATATATATATATATACATAGTTGTGCATTCATTAATTCGTTCGTTCGTTCAATCATTCATTCATTCATTCATTCATTCATTCATTCATTCATTCATTCATTAATTCATTCATTCATTCATTCATTCATTCATTCATTCATTCATTCATGTCATTTCATTTCATTTCATGTCATGTCATGTCATGTCATGTCATTTCATTCATTCATTCATTCATTCATTCATTCATTCATTCATTCATTCATTCATTCATTCATGCATGCATGCATGCATGCATGCATGCATGCATGCATGCATGCATGCATGCATGATTGCATTCATCCATCCATCCACCCATCCATGCATCCACCCATCCATCCATCCATGCATCCGCCCATTCCATTTCATTCCATTTCATTCCATTCTATGCCTTTCCATTCCATTCCTTCCATTCCATTGGTTCCATTCATTTCATTCATTCCATTCTTTTCATTCCATTCCGTCCGTTTGTTCCATTTATTTCACTCGTTCAATGAAACGTACGTTCATTCATTTCATTCCATTTCATGTCATTTCATTCCATGCCAATTCAATTCAATTCAAGTCAATTCAATTTAATTCAATTCAATTCAATTCATTCACTTCATTCATGCATGCATGCATTCATTTCATTTGTATGTGTGTGTGTGTGTTTCTACGTCAATATGTTATGTATACATATGTTCTATACCTATGTATAGATATGGGCCCCATTCGTATCCGCCACGCGTCCGGATCGTTCGTCTTCCGATGTCCAGCCTTTGGCCGGGTGTACTTCTCCAGTGTGGCCTGGCGCCCGCCCAAGCAATCCCAAGACGAGGCCGGCATCCAGCACAGGCAGCGCCAAGGGAATGCAAGCCTAAAAAAGCCGACAGAGGTGGGAAGGGAGAACTGCAGGCAACTACAAGGGCGAAGGGAGTGGAGCAAAACAACGGGGACAGCGGGCAAAGTGAAGATCACCGAGAGCGCGAGAAGAATGAATCGGGCGGAAATATGGAATGGAGACCTTAATGGGCAGCAAGCCAAGCGCAGAAAACAAGGTGTGGAAAACAGATGCACGAAGAGAGGCTTGAAATTCTCCCCTTCCTGCCACCACAGGAAAATTGAGAACGGCGCTCTCACCGCTTGAACCTTTGATCAAGATAGGCGGCTAGTCCGTGCACACTGCCCAGGGAGGGAAAACAAGAAATAATCAAAAAGTATCTCGACAGGCTTCACCGCAGAACATCAATCGCACAAATCAGAACAAAATAAGCCTGCAATAGATCCGGTTCGGCACCAGCTCCAGTTCTTCTATCCACGCGACCCCGATAGAACCTCAGGCGGAGGAGCTGTGTTGGACCGGGCAACCAGGCAACAAGGGTTCCCTACACAGTACCTACCAAGGGCCCAACAACTCTCAACATGTTTTATCTGTGGACCGTTTCGGCCCCCCATAACTTGAGTAAAAGGCACAAACACACCAACAATACAGTGGCAAAAGTGGAGCGGGAGAACCAAGAAGAACGAACAATTTGTCAAGGGGTCCTTGGCACTTCCATGTTTGGTTGGAGGGTGATCATCCTAGCGCTCACATCTGCCCGCAGTGGGTGTCTTCAAACAGACGTAAGCGCCAGGACCGCTCTGACACCGCTGCCGGGTGCAGAAGTCAGACCCACACATGGGTTGGCTCATCTTTGTTTCCCTTTAGTCACGCGAAGCCAACGTCCTCCAAACATCGAAAAACCCACGCCCAAAAAAGAAAGAGAAACACACACAAAACGGAAAAAAAAGCACCTGCCACCCACCATTTGTTTGCATAGGTGTCCTTTTTGGGAAAATAGATGGCCCTGGTAGTTGATTGAAGCACCAGGTAAACCAGGAATCGCCCTCTATTTTTCAACCAAGTCAACCAAAAAGGACACCTATGTTTGTTTACGCCCCCCGCCCCCAAAAAAAAGAAACGAGGGGGAAAAACACGCACCAACAAGAAAGCACCTGCCACCTACCATTTTCCGGTGCCTTCCGAGCTCCATCCGTCCGACTCCAAACACCGACGACTCGACTCCAAACACCGCCGGCCTCGGGGTAGAGGTCCTGCTCCGCGGCGGCGTAGAGCGCCGCCGCCTGGCGGGTGGCGGGGGCAACCGGGGCTTAGGCGGTGAGGAAGATGTCTTTTGGAGGGCAATTCCAATGCTTTTGTCTTTCAAAACCCAGGAAAACCCACATTTACCCTTCTTTTTTTTTCTTGGGGGGGTGTGGTTTCGAGGGAAAACCAAAAGGAAACACCCACATTTGCCTTCTTCTTATTTTTTTTTGGGGGGTGGAGTCCAGGCAAACACCAAAAGGAAAAACCCACAGTTGCGTGCTTTTTTCTCTGTATGTTTTTTGCTTTTTTTTTGGGGGGGGGGCTGAAAGAAAAACAGGCCCAATTGGGGCTTACTGGGTTTATATCCCCCACCAAAGAGACGCGACGAAGGGGTTGAGACCTTGATTCACCATATTGAGGGGCGGACTCTCTAGGACCTGTCAACAAGAAAATCTGGAATGGTTCCCTTTTAGGGATTCAATGCGTGTTTGGGTTTTTTTTTCCTGATGGTCCGGATGAATCCAAAGGTAACCGTGGCAAGGCGGTTGCGCACTCTCCACTTGCTCTGTTGGGTTCGGCAATGCTTTCAAGTTCTCAACCATGAAGCGTGCTCCGCATTCATTGCAAAGAATGTACTCGTGGGTATGGTGACGAAGTTGCACACTTCTGCAGCTCATGCATTACATCTTACATCGGTGTCAAAGCGTTCTCTTTACTTGTGGTGTCCCTTGAAAGCTAACCAAGTTTGACCCCAGCTGTTGCCTTTGCTTTTGGTTTTCCTTTCAAGCAATGCGACACAAAAACAAAAGCGTGGCCTGCGCGCGTCAGAAAAGCAAAGCCCGAGGCTCCGACTTGCTGGTGTCCCTCGATCCCTTTCCCCTTAAATCCAAACCCGCCACTTGGCTTGCTTCCTGGCTAAAATGACCAAAAAAAAAATCTCCAATTTTGGCCCCTTGCCCTTTTGGCTTCTGAAGGAAAACGCCTGCAACTTGTTTGGCGGTGCAAATCCTTTTTCGCTTTCCCCTGGAAGGAAAAAAAAAAACGCTCCAAAAAGAACAGACACAAACACATACCTACCAGACGCTCCCCCCAACAAAAAAAACGCCGGCAAAAAAAACACTCCGAGCGCCCCGGCCAAAGCTGCGCCCGGGCGCCTCCAAGGCGAGTTTTTGGGAGCGGAGCTGAAGCTCGAGGTGCCTTTTGGGGGGGGGGAGTAGGGGGGGGAGTACTGTGCCAAATTTGACGAAAAGCCTTTGACAAATTGACAGCCACATCTTTGGCTTGTTTTCTGGGCGTTTCTTGTTTGGGGCACCCCTAAACACATTGTGGTTTCCCTTTTGGTCCCCCCTTTAAACCAGGTCCGAAAAGGGTACCCGAAAAACATGACACACCCATATTCTATGGTGTCCCAAAGCAGAAGCAAACCAACAAAGGTCCTCATGTTTCCGTGTCCAAACCAAAACGAAAGGCAACCCCCTCCCAAACTCCACCAATCTTCTCCGGATACCGAAAGCGCCTCGAGGCGTCCATGCCTCGATACGAGAAAAGCACGCCTGGAGTCCGTCTGCCCGCAAAAAGACAAAAACACTCATGGGGGGGGGGGGTTAAGGGGATTTGTTGGATTTGCTGGATTTGTTGGATTTGTTTGAAGGATTTGCTGGATTTGTTGGATATGTAAAAAAGATGTGCTGGATTTGTTGGATTTGTTGGATTTGTTGGATTTGTTGGATTTGTTGAAAGGGAAATCGCCCATTTTCGGGGTTTGCCTGACAAAAGAGATGCCAACATCTGGCCTGTCAGTTCAACCCGCAACAAGGGAGGCAACTGAGGGACCCGGCCCGAAACCTATCGCAGTATTCCTTCCAGCACATCTTCCTCGGTCCTTCAGTGACCAGAATTTGGAAAGCGTCTGAAACATAGGTGTCCTTTTTGGTTGAAAATAGATGGATATCCCTGGTGGTTGATTGAACCACCAGGCAAACCACGGATCGCCCGACCTATTTTTCAACCAAATCAGCCAAGGACAAATATGGTCTGCAACCGGATCAAAAAATCCTCCCATCGGAAAGGAAGCTTGGTCGCAAACCCCGGGGCTTGGGCCGAAGGAGGCGAAGGAGGTCTTCGTCGGTTGATACGGCCCAGCCAAGGCAGGTGAGTGGTGAGATGATCGGTTGCTTTGTGTACCACCAATCAAAGGTGGTGTTCTTTTGGTCCGGCCTATCAAGTGAGGGTCATTCGCGCTCTTGCTAGCTTGGTTCTCACATGGGGTTCTCCCCCGTTCTTGGATGGCGTTTCAAGGGAAGCCAATAAAACCCTTTGAAAGTCAATTTTTGGGCTGCATTCTGCTTCAGCCCAAAGAGAGACCTTTGCGAGATCAAGTCCTGCGGTGTCGCAACTCTTGGCACCTCGCAACCTCTCCAATCCTTGAGCCTTATTGGCTACATCGGCCAGCAAAAACAAGCAGCAGCCGGGATTCAACCAGCCCGGAGCCTGAAAATGGCCGGAACGTTGGAGCCATGCCTTCCACTTACACAGTGTTGCCCGGTTGGCCAATAGAAACAAGGCTTTTTAGGAAGAGGAAATCGGAGGCCATCACATGCTGGGGGCTAAGGGTGAGGTGCAGGGATACACCGCGGCCCTACAACAAAGTCCTCGCACCTTGTCACAGTGGCGAACAAGCAAGCAAACGAACAAGCAGGCAAGCAAGCAAGCAAGCAAGCAAGCAAGCAAGCAAGCAAGCAAGCAAGCAACCAAGCAAGCAAGCAAGCAAGCAAGCAAGCGAGCGAGCGAAGCAAGACAGCCAGCTAGCAAACAAACGAACAAGAAGCAAACACATCGATCAATATTCAACAAGTCAAGAAACAGTCAGAGGAAACAAAACCAGCCGTGGACTCAAAAGCCCTTGGAACGCGGGGAGGGGGGGCTGCTTCTTGTCAAAATCTCAGCAAGTTTGTTTTAATTCCGATGAGTTTGGCTTCGACACATCAAGGCATCTGCCCTGTGTGAATATTGAAAACATATGGAAAGCATAGACATTGAATCTCAATGTGTGCCATGCTCGAATCCCCTCGTTGACCCGGGTTGACTGGAAACTTGGGGCAAGCCTCCAAATGATCCGACTCAAGAAAGAGGGACGTCTGCTCACGAAATCGGTGTCGTCCTTAAAGGGGAGGGCTGCCGGTGATTCCGGGCTCGCCCGAAGCAATTTGCGGGCCACTTTTGGGTATGCCCAGGTTGTTCAAACACAAACGGGAGCAAAGTTCTACCACAAAGGGAAAATCGCCTCCCTGTTCCATGTTGATCTGCCCAAACTGGTTCGTGTCCTTTTGGTTGTCCCTCAACAACAGCAAACGGGAGGTGGGTTCCGCCAGAATGTATACGGTACGTCTCCCTCAAATCAAGTGGAGCAAACTGGGACGCTTGTCGCACGCCCAATCTCAGTGCAGCAGCAGGCGGCTTTCGGCTGGATGCTGTGTTGCCAAAACGACGGTATTACCAGCCGGCGCGATTCCTTGACTGAAGCCTTCTGGCGCCACTGGACTAACCCATGAAGGCGATCGAGGAAGGTAGAATACCACTTGCTCACATCGCTTGGTCGAGAATCTACAATGAGCAAAACCAAATAGAAACAGCTACTGGGATTTCAGATGAAATAATACTGCTAATACCAGGGCTGTGGGGAATGACCACTTCTATGATACAACAAAAAGGGCTTCCCAAAGACTACTGTGTTCATATAAAGAGGGATTCCCTTGTATCACAGAAGTGGGGAGAAACCCCTTGATCCCACGACCCTGGCTAATACTCATAATGAAAAACGATATTTATAATGATAAACAATATTAATAATGATAGTAATGATATCAACAATAATAACAATAATGACGGTTCCATGGTTGTGTCTTCTTCGTCCCCCACCCCCGAAAATTTATGTATCCGTGCTCACCTGTCGGCAACGAGGTGATTGTTTCCAAGAGGCCTGGGACGAGGGGAGCCTCTGCCAGAATGCAGCCCCGGCAACTGGCCTACTGCCACCCAGCTATGGATTCCAACCATTTGGCCATGGGTCAAAACCCCGTACCCCCAGTGAACATCCCAATCCAAACTAAAATAGACTAAAATGGGTAGTGCACCTACCCCAAAATGGTACCATTGGTTTTGACCCACGGACATTTCAGTGACTTGGATCCAACCAAAATGGGAACCCAGCCGCTCTCGCTGAATATGAAGCCCTGTCCCATTCAGTTCCGGCCGGCTCGAGCTTTGCCCTGAGGAGCTAATGGAGTAGAAGCCAATAACCTTCCCGCAACTGGATTCGCATAATCTGTGGCTAGGCCTGAAGGCTAGCCTTGAATCCATCCAAAACCGCTGATCCTTTGTCTTACCAGGTCAACAAAGGAAAACCCCGTTGCAAGCCAACAAGATAAATGTGCTTCACGAGGTCGCGGCGATATCTTACAGCACAAACATGCTAGCTGGCCATGTGCGGTCCACAGCCACAGGTTGGCCTAAGGGTTGACACGGAGGAAAAAACTAGTGTTTGGGGGGACTTAAAAACTGACAGATAGGTACAAAGGAAGGCCGACTTTCACCAAGTGTCCATTGGGTCAGCCCAGCGCCGGGCATCAGTCAGAAACAAACACACGGTCGCCACTGCGAGAGGGGTTGGATAAACACACGACAAGAGCCTTCTTTGCGCATGTTGGGGCTTCGATTCAAGCAACCATGCTCACATCAACGGCGTGCAGTCATTCTAGAAGCAGCACCTGAGTACAGAGAATAGTGGCGCAAAAAGTTTTCATCTGCGCAGGAACTGGGCCAGAGGCCGGCAGCCTCAACGCACAGCAATGGGAACCAATGAACCTCATGAAGATGCTGGCAGGCCCAGTTCCTTCCATATTAGCGGAACGGAAAAGGCAAAGGACTGGGCGGACTCCTGCTCTCAGCTGAAAACAGCCAGCAGCCGGAAACAGCCAGAGCCCAGTATCCCACTTGCCTCACCAGACTAGGATGCCCCCCACCCGTCAAGGTGAGCATCAGCCCTCAGCCGCCTTGAAGGGTTGGGGCCCTCGTTTCGGTCGCAACCGGTCCGCCTAGCGGCCGGGCAACCCAAGCCTCACAGAGGTGTGGCGCGTAAGTTGCGTCCCCATGAGTTGGCAATGCCTGGTTGAAGTCAAATCGGTCGGTTATGTACTGTGCATTCAAAAAAATGTGTGTGTAATCTGTGCCAATAAACCTCCAATAAAGGTCCAACAAAGAACAAAGTGGCTCGGCCAGCTCACGCACTGCAACTTCCGGCATTTCACCCTTGCCTGGTGCTTGGTATTCCTACTCTCCTCTTACGCCGCTGCTGGCGGCGAGTCGTTGGGCTTTGAGTCCGCCCTTGGCGCTGCCAATTTTGATCGCCAGATTAAAATCGGGTCCTCGGGCATGGGCTGTGCGGCAGCGGCAGGTTCCGAGACTCGGTGTGGTTCATCTTACCGAATGGGGCGACTAGGTGCGCTTCGGCCACCACCGGTAAGTGCAATCCCCGACCAAAAAAAAAACACGCCATCATGGCGATGACGACATCCGAAACGACAACCACGACCACGACCACGACCACGACGACGACGACGACGACGACGACGACGACGACGACGACCACGACAACGACGACGACGACGACGACGACGACGGCGACGACGACGATGACGACGACGACGACGACGACTGTGACGACGACGACGACGACTGCGACGACGACGACGACGACGACGACGACGACGACGACGACGACGACGACGACGACGACGACGACGACGACGACGACGACGACAACGACAACGACAACGACAACGACAACAAACAAACAAACAAATAAAGAAACAAACAAACAAACTAACTAACAAACAAACAAACAAACTACAAACAAACAAACAAACAAACAAACAAACAAACAAACAAACAAAAAAAGCAAACAAACAAACAAACAAACAAACAAACAAACAAACAAACAAACAAACAACCAACCAACCAACCAAGCAAGCAAGCAAGCAAGCAAGCAAGCAAGCAAGCAAGCAAGCAAGCAAACAAACAAACAAACAAACAACAGCAGCAGCAGCAACAGCAGCAGCAGCAGCAGCAGCAACAGCAGCAGCAGCAGCAGCAGCAGCAGCAGCAGCAGCAGCAACAACAACAACAACAACAACAACAACAACAACAACAACAACAACAACAGCAACAGCAACAGCAACAGCAACAGCAACAGCAACAGCAACAGCAACAGCAACAGCAACAGCAACAACAATAGCCACAACAATAGCCACAACCAAACACAACCAACCAGCCAGGACCAAGCAACCACAACCACAACCACAATCAACACCACAACATCATCAGAACAACAAGCCGCAAACTGCTTCTAGGAAACGCGCATGTTGCCCTAAGAAGTTTTCGGCAATCAGCAACCTACAGTTACAAGCTCGACACGGTTGGCTTTGGACAGGGCGACCAGAAGCCCCTGAGTTGTCAAAGCTCCTGGGCCCGTGCTTCTGGCCTATTGAAAGTTAAACCCATCTGGGGATCTCCTCGATCATGCTTCCTGGTTTGCCAAGCCATCTCAGAGACTGAACCAAAGCTTGACAAGAGGCCTTCGAACACATCAGACATTGTTGAAAGGTGGACTTGCATGTTTGTAGGAGGGTCTCGGCCGTAGGGACATGACACTACGAGGTTTCCCAACTGCGCGAGACAGCCCAAGAAGTCTCGGAGCCTGCGCCTATCCACTTCTCAAGCGCGGTCCGCGCCACAGTGACGCTGCCAATGGAGTGGCAAGGGCACGTCCAAAAACCTGAACATCTGCAGGAATGACCATAAGCCTTCTGGGGAAGCAAGGGCGACAAAATAACAAGGCCAACCTCATTCTCTTCCACTCCACATCGTCATTGCGCTGTCCAAAGCCCGCGAAGCACAGGCAAAACGCCCAAGGCTGCTCTCTGGGTAGAATGTGAGAAGCGTGCTGACAGATACTCTCGTGCGACCGCATGTTTCAACCACCAAATTGGGCATGCGGCAAGCGCAGACTTGAAACCAACCAGAAATTTTAGAGTAGCGGAAGGTTGGAACTGGGAAGCCAATGTTAGGCTTGTGGGAAAGGCTGAAATAGAGGCTCAAACAATGGCACCAAAAATGGCGCCTTGGTAAAGGGAAGCAAAGACCAAAACCACCGTAACCCTGGCTCTAAAAAAAATTGAGCCACACCCAAATAGCAAGGGCTCCAGAAAGCTGCCCAAGAGCACCGAATTCGCCGAAGTTATAATACAAGGCTTTGCACAGGAGGCGCTGCTGTCCCACGTCAGAGCATCGGCATCTCTCTGAGCAAACAGCAGCCCCCACTGAACTGAGGGGTCGGCCGGCCTAGACCAAACGAGGCAAGCGCACTGAGCGCAAGTAAAACGAACAGGGATACTCAACCAAACCACGGACTCTCGTTGCATCAGTAAAAAACTGGTCTGATAACTTGCAGCCCAGGATGCCTCAAATGCTGCAGTGATGGATGGGGGATATACGTATGTTTCAGTTTGTCCAAGTAAGTGTCTTGAAACGCTTACTTGCAAAGTGAGAGGTATATAATGTTGAGGTTGAGTGGACCATAAGCTCCAAAGGATAGCTCTCTAAAAATGAGTGGCCCAAAATGAAACTACAAAGCAAAGAAAAGTAGAAAACTCGTGGCTTCATGTTTGCAACATCTCGTGAAAGCGCGATGTAGCTCGGCTTCAGAAAGCCACCCGCAAAATTCGATCAAACAGGCCGTGGTACAATTTTGTCAACCAGTGCGGGCTTGGGTCGATGAGAACCCACAGGCAACTATCCTTTACGAAGCTTGGCCGTCAGAAGTGGTATCCCCAAATCTTTCCCACGAAAATCTGAGTTGGCAGGGCGTACGACCTTCGACCTCTCCTAAAATTGGAGCTGATCAATACTCCAACTGGGCTTGGCGCGTTCGCTGAAAGTTTTAAAGAGCCCAGAAAAAATGGAAGAAAATAAAAGAGAAAAAAAAGGACAACTCCCAAGTTCCAAGCTCTGGGGGGTAACCTGGCCTGGGTCCAGGCTTCAGCATGCCAAGCTTACGTAGTCATCTCTGAGCATCTTCAAACACCCCAAGAATGCCAGACCTGGCTGTCTGCCCAGCCGCCCCTCTCACCAAAAGGAAAGGTGGTGCGCCAGTCGACGCATAAGGAAAGCAAGAGGCCTGGCGGTCCGGAGTAAATGATTCTCCAAAAATCCCAGGAGAAGATATCCTCATCTCCAGGGGCAAAGCGGCAAAATCCGAAATGCGCCGACGTCTTAAGACAAGCCGGCACGGCTGAATCCTGCGACTTCTTCTCTCTTCGCGTCGTCATGCTTGAGAAAATCAGACAGCATCGGGAAATCTCAGGATGCGCCAAACCAAACTCACCGGGGACTGACAAATTTGAGACGCGTCGCGGCGTCGCACCTTCCTTGACTCGGGAGGAGTGCGATCTTCGCCCTCTTGGGCGGCCCTCGGGAGGTCTCATGGTCAAACAAGCCCATAGGTGCTAGACAATCCTGTGAACGTAGCTCCCTCAGCTCGAGTTGTCGCCCCTGGGGTGCGCAAACCTCCCGTTGCAGCTATCCAGGCTGCTCTTGTGCACTTAGGCTCAGCTGCCTCTCCTGACAAGAGACGCACGCAAGGTCGGGTCGCTTGAACGCCGGAAAGGGGAACCTAATTCGTGACACATCTCCGTTTGGCCCCGAACTCCGGACCCCAAATGTCGTACCCTTCACAAATGGCTCCCTCCACCATTCCATCAAGAGCGTGCAACAAAAAGCCACATTGCGGACAACGCCCCCGCAAGACTCTCCGAAGGGAGCAATATCCCATCCCTCGAGTTCGCCAGAGATCGTCCAGCCCGGTTCATGCAGCTCAAGCGTTCACCAGCATCCGTTTCAGAGATGCTAGCGTTCGCAACGCCCCACGACGAAACACGTCAACCAGACTGTTGCTCAAAGGAGGCATGCCCAGAGAGAGAGAGAGAGAGAGAGAGAGAGAGAGAGAGAGAGAGAGAGAGAGAGAGAGAGAGAGAGAGAGAGAGAGAGAGAGAGAGAGAGAGAGAGAGTAGTGGTGCACGCTCCCTTGCAACTAGGCTTCACACCGTTAGGGGTGTTTGAGCCCTTGAAATACAGGAACTCCCAACGATATCACCTGGGAAAAACTGGCATCCTTTGTTGCTTTAAACAGACCCCCCAACAGCGGCTGCAATCCTCCGGAACCGAGCCCCTGATAAGCTGCCCAAGCCCGAAGCAGCCTATCTCGGCCTACCCCTAAGCTTTCAGCACCTGAAAAAAAAGAAAGCCGAAGGAGGCTCCAGCGCAAACCTGGGGGAAAAAGATATTAATTAAAAAAAAAAAAAAAAAAAAAAAAAAAAAAAAAACGGCGCGGCTGGTTCCTTTTTTGTGGCTGCTAAGCTATGTGTGTGTGTGTGTCTTTTTGTTAGGGGCACCCCGACAATGCGTGTGTGTTTTTCCCCTTGTGATGTCCTTTGAAAACCACAACCAAAAGCGTAGCAACTCCAAGAAAGAGATACCCAGCTCTGCTCCGTCAGAGCCAAATGTTGACTTTGACCAATTCGCCAAATGCCGGCCTCACGTCATGCTCCATGACTCGGTTTGGATTTAGTTGGTACCCCATAATAATTATTTAGACCCCATTTGCGAATGAGTAAATAGGAGACCATCCTTCGCTTTTCGGGAACACACCCCATACAATCTACCCTCCCACCCGTTTCACACATGGAACCTGAGGTTCAAAGAAATGGTCGGGTCCCTGAAAAAAAGGAGAATGGTCAGTCACCCCCCCCCCCCCGTTTTACGTCGACCACCCGTTTCACATGGAACCGTCCGAGGTAAAAGGGGGCTCCTGGTTGGGACGACCATTTCCCGAACCTCAGGTTCCAGGTGAAACGGGTGGCAGAGTCCACCTCGCGAGCAGACCCACCCTTCGGCCCCTGCCTGCCCCGGACTCCGCGACGTGTCTCTGCCATGGGAAGCTTCTCCTCATCGTCTGGCAAATAGCTCAACTCCTGACAGCCGGAAGCCGCACTTCCGAGTGGAAACCGAGCGGAATTGGCCAAAGAAAGGGCAGCCAAGCCTTGTACTTACCATTAAAAAATGGTCCTCCCACAAAGCTTGAAGTCCAGAACCTCAGGAAGTGAGAAGCTGCTTCGTTCTCGCGAGGGAAAAGCCCATTCCCAGGTGGCGGCTTAACCGGTTCAGTCCCTTTCACAACCCCCTGACCTTTCGCACCAAGTGAGGCGGAATTGCTCCTGATTGGCTGCATTTGAGAAGCATGAGCTTGTTTTGAGACTGGCTCAGCGGTTAATTGAATCTGGAAGGTCAAGCAAAAAACGAAGCCGCCTGACTCCCTGACTCCACCCTTTCGTTTTAGCCCATTTGCTACCTTTCGCTTACATTGCGCACCCAACATCAGAATATATGGCAAATGGATGTTCATCCACCCCAAAACGGGATCGCCATTGCCTATGCCCCATGGCCATATGAGTATGGGTCAAAACTTGGGTAACCCCAAAAATAGCTTGCCCTGGCAAATGCCAATGTATCTCACTTCCGATCGAGTGGATTGGCCAAAAACAGCGACCACACTTCTTGTGACTTAGCGAATGCCTCCGTGTTTCGCGACCCAACCCAAAGGCCTTCAGAAGGCGCTCCACGAAGCGGGTCTCCTTGGACGCCTGAATTCCGCGCTGGGAAGGCAAGGAATGGCTGCGGGCGACTCAACCAGAAGCGCTTGGGCAAGACAGGAGCTTCCACACTGCTATCTGTGGGTCGAAAATTCTAGTGGTACACTCCCCATTCTCTTCAGGGATCCTTCTCTTCAAAAAGGGGCCAAGCACCTGGGAAAGATGCGGTTTCTAAAGAGAAGGATGGGTGAAGAGAATGGGGAATCAAACCTTAGAAAGATAGGGTAACCCCAAAATGGGGAGGCCCCTGGGAGATGGTTTGTGGGTGTGGCTGTCAGACATGGGGTGGTACCCAAAATGGCCTGCCCTGGTCAATGGAAACAAGGACTAAAGCCCCAGAGGCTTTCTCGATGCTAAGAGCCTGCGTTTGCAAAGCGCACTTCCCCCGCCCGTCGCCCGTCGACATAACTTCCCATGTCCCGAGCCGTGATCCCCGAGCCTCCAACCGAACAGGTTTAACTCTTTGGGATGGCCAAAAAAACACCTTGGCCGCAACCCAGTTTTGGAATGGGCCAATTCTCAGATTCTGATGAGTTCCCAAACTCCATGGACCTCAGCGAGGATTCCTCAACCACCGAGAGCCTCGCAAATTGGTCAACGCAAATGGTTCCTGCAGCAAAACCGTGGCAGACCCGTGTCAAACCACTCTTTTGGCCCAACCTCCAACCAAAAAAATACCGCTTTCCAGGGAAGCCTCGTGTTTTGCCAAACCATCTCGCCACACCGTGGAGAACCTGCGCGCATGCGAGGCCCACCGAGATCCGCCTTCAGGTCAGCACAGCGCTGGCTGAGATCCATCAGCTGCCGCCGGGCCTTTTGCCGGGTGCGTTTTTTCTCGGTGTTTCGAACACTTCCTGAGTCGCTGGCCCGCAAGAAGTGACAAAAACGTTTGGATTTACCGCTAAAATGGTAGAACCCATTTAAAAGTGACTCAAGGCCAAGAACGCGGGAAGCCAGGTTTGGTATTTATATGTTTGCTCTGTTTGTTCTGATTGTTCTGCTATGCTCGCTCTATTTGCTCTGATTGTTCCATGTGCGGGGCTTCTTCTACTGCTCTTCTGCTTCTGCTTCTGCTTCTGCTTCTGCTTCTGCTTCTTCTCCTTCTTCTTCGTCTTCTTCTTCTTCATAGTTTTCTTCTGGTTGGCTACATTTGGTTTCAAGAGCCGCGCATGTACTTCCCAGTGCCCAGTGGAAAAACCAACAAACACTTGCTGAGACCATGCCTCAATCTCAATGTCGTTGCCCAAGTTGAGCAAAGCTTTCACCACGAAGCCGCCGTACTGCGTACGCCTGGTGCAACCGATCGAAATCCCGCGGCTGCTCCCAGAGCTCAACTTGCCGGTTCGATCGAATGAGACATGGCAGTGGCTCAAAAAACCGGAGTTTTCCAAAATGGAACCCTGGTAAGTGGAAACATGGACCAAAACCTGCGTAACCCCTCCTGTTTAATTTTGAACAACACCCAAATGGAATGACCCAAGATAAAGGTTATCCATTTCCCACGGTTCCTTGAAGGAAAACCCAAAGTTCTTTCCCAAAACCCGGAAGGCCATTCCCTCCCGATTAACGGAAGGTCTTCCACTTTACCCCGAATGAAATGCACCTATGAATGGGCGCCTGCATGCCTGTCCCACCTCGCAAAACATGCATGTTACATCTTGAGAAGTCCGTTACTGCCATCAAAACAAACCCAACAGGACTTATTGCCAGGGTGTGCCGCTTCTGCAACCAAAGAAGCCTAAGCCTGAAGACGGCTGCTCAAACTGACACAAAAGGAGATGCTGAAATCACCCACAAAGGGATATGTCTCAAGCTGTGGTGATTCTCGCGTGTTTCCTGGGACCCCTGTCGAAGTCAAGTTGGATCCCCTCCATTTGTCTTGGACCTCTCCTAAAGTTGAACTCCCCCACTAGTCTACAACCTCTTCTCCGGTTCACTTCTTCTTTGCTTCCTTATAAAATAGATATGAAACCCCTACTCCTCGGCCTTGCTCCCCCCCCAAAAAAAAACCACACCCCGTGTTTCCGTGCGCATCCCCAAACGAAACCCGGCGGGGATCGACCTCCGAGGGAACCGACGCCCCATGCCGGCGAGCGGCGCCAGCAGCTCGATGCCCGACTCCTCCGTGGAGCCCTGGCGGACGTGCGCCCGGCGCCCGGCGTCAAGTGGGGCCTTCGGAAGCCTCCGGAAAATTACCTGCTGAGTTGTTTCTCTCTCACTCTCACTCCCTCTCTGATCTGAACATGATGGTCAACAAATGGGCCTCTCTGAACCAAAATGGTGAGAAAAACTGGGCTGCGGTCTAAACTGGTAAAATGGAATGATAAAGAATGGGCTACCTTGGTAAATGGAAAGAAGGGCGAAACCTGTCCCCTGGCAGGCTTTGATTTTGACCTATACCTATACATGCACTGTGTTCCCCCCCACCCCCCCACGCCCCGACATGTGTTTGACAGGGAAAACAAAATTGTGGTTTTGCCAGGCGCATGCGTGTGGTTCCACCCCAAGTTATCCACGGAAGCGCAAACAAAACCTCAGCCCCGGCTGACCGTTGATAGTCGGCAGCTCAGTTTGTTGGGCTTCACTTCCAGCCATCCTTTGAATCAGAAATGGGGCCGGCTCAATTCCGTGTAGGAACATGCTTCCCCCTCCGGAAAAGGAAAAAAAGTGCCTTGGTAGGGAAGAGACGGACGGAAGTATCCAAAAAGGCTGTGTAGAAAATCCTCGCTGCCCATCTCAAGCGACCTCACTTGTTTACCCCAAGTCCTTGAAGCTGACATTGCACGTTTCATGCTTGTAGACTACACCGTAGCAATCACAACTCGGATTCAGCAAAAAAAAACTGGACTGCTTGGATTCACAAAGAAAACAACTGTCCAGCACTGGGGTCAGCAAACCTTTGGCTCGTGTCGGAAACCGGCGGCGGGTTACTCGTTACTCGCCTGCTGCAGGAGGTCGATGGCCAATGCCCGCCTCATCGACTTCGGGGGTGCTGGGGGGTGCTGGGGGCGCAAAGAGGGGGAAAGGGGGGGGAGGGCGCGTGCCACTCCTTGCTGAAAAAAAGTCCTTCAGAGTGACCCGTAGCATGACTTCCGGTCGTGGATCGCTAAACAACCAGCATAGTCGCCTGAGAATCTTCATAGGTCTCCATCTCTCAATCTGGCACGGATGGTGTCCAACCGACACTCTCCGTCGCATGAAGCAGGGCTTTCGGGGATCCCTACAAAAATTATTTGGCTGATCCTCGAGTCGTTGAGAGTAGAAGAGGTGCACCCAGCGCGCACAACTAGCTGACAACGCGCAGGTTGAATGGTCTGCATGAAATCTAGCAAAACAAGTGCTAGTTCTCCTGACTGGAGGGCCTTGACAGAGATTCTAATTCTTTCATGTCCATCTTTAGCACAGCTGATATCTTTTTCTGCTCTCTTCCACGAGGCCTGTGTGACCTTCCCAATTTGGAGATGACTTGCCTTTTCATGTTTCAGGATCCAAGCCATAAATGCCTTTCAATGCGCTTGTGGGTCACACGTGATCTGGTTTCCTGGCCATCTGTGATTACATCAGCTATCCGCCGGCTGCAGCTATCGCCTGCCCAGCTGCCCGGCCTCTCTGTAGGTGCGCAGTAGATGAGAGCCTTCTCGATGACGTGGCTGGCATTCCCTGGCCAGGGGAGCTGAAAAAGAACACCTCTCAGCGACCAAACTCGCTGTGAGAAACCCTGCCGCGTTGACGAGGATTCAAGGCATACCTGTTGGGTGCCCAAGGAAGAAGAAGAAAAAAGAAGCGCTCAGTGGGTAGCTCAGCAGCTCAGCGCCTTCTTGGGCGCACTGTGTCATGCACAAAGATGCAAGCAGCGCCGCCTTTGTGTTTCACGAACCCGATCCCGGCTCCATGATTTCTCAACGGATTACGACGGGAAAGGTCCTGGCGAAGTCGTCTGCCATTCGCGTGCATCCGTCAAAACCTGCTCTAGGAAGCCAAACAAATGGCCATGGGCTGTTGAAAACCCAAACCGTACCCTCAGTGAACATCCGATTCAATCCAACCACTAAAAGAGGAAGCCTAGAATGGGTGCTGAATTCACCGAAAACCCCCAAACTGGGATCCCAAAACGGTTTTGACCAATCCATCAGCCCAATATCTAGTGACATGCACCCGCTTGTAGCTTGCTTGGCTCGAGACAACCCAAGCCATGCCCAGAACCTGCGCTCCCTGAGACCCAAGGCCCAACCCCACGCCCTTGCGGCATGGCCAAAAGCAGCTCCCCCGGTGTTTGGTTTTTTCTAAGCAGACCCGCCGTCCGTTTCGCTCATGGCCCATTTGATCAAAAATCGCTGGGCCTCCCTGGTAAATGCCACAAAACAACCGGTATCGAATCCCGGTCGAAGCAATCAATATGTTCTGAACCAAAAGCGATCAAAAGGATTCTGCATGGAAGCTCCACAACTCGACCCGAAACCCAACTGCTCCGTCTCCCATCGGACATGTCTGGATCGCCGCGCCAAATCCCAAGGAACCTGCCTGTGGAACGGAACCAGCCGTCCACGCACACGAATCAATTGAATGGCCACCAGCTCTGAGTCAAAGCAAAAGGTATGAAAGAGGTCCCAAACCCATGTGGCTGTGGGTCAAAACCCCGAACCCCTGGTAAACATCAACACAGGTGGCAAATGGATGTTCATCCACCCCAAAAATGGAGCCATAGGTTATGCCCCATGGCCATGTTAAGCTTCCGGCCGCACTTCCTCCCCTCATGGCTACAACTGTCCCTTCCCCCCCTCACCCCCTTCCGAGGAAGAAAAAAATCCCGGCGGCGCGGCGGTGCTGGGCCATGTCCATGATGCGATGCCCTCAGCTCGGATTTTTGTCCGAGTCGCCAGGAACCAACCTGAGTTATAATCAAAACCTGGTATTAAAATGGTCTACCCAGAACCATGTACAGGATTAAGAAGGCGGCCGCAGCTATTTATGGTTGGGATTGTCCCTTACTAACCTCCATCTACCCGGGTTTTGATTGTGGCTCACCTGGCCTCAGCGTTGCCAGCCAAAAGGTTTGGGTTGTTGACCGCGCCCTTGTTCTGGTCCGGCCCAAATCGGGTCTTGGAAGCTGCGCTTCAGCAGTTGGGCCCGATGCAACAAATTCCATCGGAAAATGGACGTGTGCGGAACAAGCGCCTCATGTGGCTACAAAAAAAAGGTTAATGACTCCAGTAGCATGCGCGCTTACTAACCGATCAGCTGCGGCTGTATCTACATAGATTTGGTATTGCACCTGCATGACCGCCAAGCGCAAATCAACTGCAACTAACTTGTTCTCGGATCAACCATGTTCGCTGAAGACTGCAATGCTGAATGCGACTCGTTCCTTGCCCAATTCAGCATCTTCACCCTAAAAAACCAAGGTCCAAGTCCAAAATTCAAATCAAAGCGTTTGGACTGGACCTGAGCTTCCCCGATTTTGCCGACTCAAACCGTTGTCTTCCAAAAGGGAGACCCATCTGCGGGTGGTTTGCTCTCCCGCCCCGCAGCCCCTCAGACCCTCACCCGCTCAGGCCCCCCTCCCCCCTCCCCTCGCCAACGACCAACGGCAGTGCACTCGTCTCAGGCCCCCGCTGAGTGCATGCGCCAAGCTACGCCTCGGCCCCAACACGCAGAGGCAGACTCGGTGAACGGGCTTCATCCATGGAACGTCTCAAAATAGGACTCCACAAGTAAAGGCTTCAACTTGTTTCTGTGGGCCTCGTCGCAGTAAGGAAACTATTTTGCTGTGGCTCACAAAACACGTGTTTGTTTCATGCCTTGACTTGCCTTGACTTGCCTTTAATTGCCTTTGATGGTCTTGACTTGCCTTAATGTTCCTTGCCTGTGTGCCTGGTTGGTCGGTTGGTGGGTCGGTTGGTGGTGTGGTTACTGCGTTGTCTCTCACAGAAGGATCGGAGTGTACAGCCCACTGGTGGCGCCCAAACTGGGTGGCGGCCATGTTGCATCCCTCCCGGGAAGGGCCGGCGGCGTTTTCTTGTGCTACGCAAGTTCACTTATAGGGGCCGACAGCGGCGAAGCATGTCCAACGCCACCTATGTCATGAAACTCATGGTCTCTACCTTCAGCGGCTGAGATCGGACAAATGTCAACGCTTGAATTGCTCGTGAAATCATCCATTTGTCACCCCACTTTCCAACACTCCCAACTTTTTGAGCTCTGACCTGCGAGGAAGGGGGAAGCATTTCGAGACACCCCCAAGGGGTCAATCATGAAACTTTATGATGGCTTTGGATGTTGCCGGGCGGACATTGCATGATGAGATAGGGCGACATACGTCTGGGGCGCGGTGAATGGCAAGAACAAGCAAACAAGCAACAAAGCAACCAAGCAGCCAAGCAAGCAAGCAAGCAAACAAACAAACAAACAAAACAAGCAAGCAAGAAAACAAGTAAACAAGCACACCAGCCAGCCAGCTAGCCGGCCGGCAGACAGACAGGTAGACAAACAAATTAAGAATCAAACAAACGAACGAGCCAGCCGGCCGGCCGACCGAAAGACAGACAGACAGGCAGGCAAATAAACAAACAAACAAATAAACAAACGAGCACACAAGCAAACAAGCAAACAAGCAAACAAGCAACCAAGCAAACAAGCAAACAAGCAAACAAGCAAACCAGCCGGCCGGCCGGCCGGCCAGCGGACCGACACAGACAGACGGCCAGCCAACAGACACGAACAAACAAACAAACAAACAAACAAACAAACAAACAAACGAACCAACAAACGAACCAACAGACAGACAAGCAAAAAAACAAACGAAGAAACAAACAAACATCCGGTCGCTCCCTTGCGACCGTCCGCTGTAGCTTGTTAACCCCCCCAAAGAATGTCAAGACAAGTTAGACCTACTGGGTGGTTTCATGTTGGTTGCCTTTCTAGATGAGTGTGCCCAAAAATGTCGGGGGGGCATGTGTATTCGGCTGCTAGAGGGAACCAAAGAGGTCTGTCTCAAGGAGGGGATTCAAAACCGGAAGATTTGGTCTCCCTTAAAGGCCTCACAGAGAAACCACAACACAAACCACCCATTTTTCCAGGAACACCAAATTTTGGTGTGTATGTGCGTTCATTGCGCACTCTTTGGTGGACATGCGACACATACCTGAACATACGAGATGAAGGCTCAGGAGCCCATGGGTGTCCTTTTGGTTGGAAATAGATGGCCCTGGTAGATGATGAAAAACCCACCAGGTAAACCAGGAATCGCCCTCTATTTTTCAACCAAAACAACCGAAAAAGACACCTATACAGGAGGCATTCCCACCAACATAGACTTACGAGCAGTCCATGAAACAAACTCGGAGCCGTTCCCCCCAAAACAAAAAAACGCAACCGACTCTGAGAAACATCCCGCCTCTGACTGTCGCAGCCGTGCTCCAGAATGGCCTGAGCCTCGGCTCAATCATTTTTTTGGTGTTCGCGTCTGACCGAAACGAATTACGGAACAAAACCCAGAGGAAAAACCCATAGGAAAAACCCATAGGGAAACAAAACACAGGAAAAACCTATAGGAAAACCCCTCAGTGGAAACTCCCTCAGTTGCAAACCTATTGGAAAACTTTGCACTGGACATCTCTCTGGCGACCAAAAACTTGGGCTCGGTCCACGAAGCGGCCGAACTGGTGCTGAACCAACTCCTCCGCATCCTTCATCACCTCCCAAAACGGGTGGGGCCAGACACAGGCTCCCCGTAGGAAATGGAGGAATTGTTTTTGTTCTTGTGTTTTCTTTTTTTCCGCACACAAGACGAGGCAAAGTGGAAAAACTCTATTGCTTTCAGCGGCAAAATGACAAGAACACACCTTCCAACATAGTCTTAGTTGTTGCGTGCATGGTGGCCACTCGATAAGAACACACGTTCTAGCGCAGTCATGTGTGTTGTGTGCATGGTTGGTCAGTTGTTGTTTGCGTTCTGCAACATGGTGAGAACATGCGTTACAGCGCGGTCATGGTTGTTAAATGCATGGCTAGAGCACACGTTCCAACGCGGTCATGGTTAATGCGTGCAGGAAACAAACGCACATGTGAATGGAGGTTGCTAAGAACACACGTTCCAGCGCACTCATGTTAGTTGCCAAGAACACGCTGCACAGAGTCATGGTTATTGCGCGCATCGGAAATCACAAGCAACCCGGGGGGGGGAGGGGGGGTCACCCGAATTTCACCCCCTTTCATGGACCCCTACAATTGCTGGTTTCCTTAGTGGCTCCCATTCCCAATTTCTCTGTGGGGATGGTTTGAATGGGACACCAAAGGAACCTCACCTTGTTGTTGGGTTCTCCGTTTGAGAGACACCCACATAGGTGGTATTCATGTCCACCACCCGCTTTTGCGAGGCTTGCCATATTAGCCGACTCGGGGAGGTCATTGGTGCACCACTTGCCGTGGCTCTTGCGATCGCTTTGAAGCAGGGTTGCGGTGGATCACTCGGGGTTTGTCCAACCACTTCTGTGATATTTTTGGAAATCCCCTCTTATGGGGGGGTTCGTCTTTGGGAGGCCCTTTTTGTTGTATCACAGAAGGGGTCATTTCCCACAGCGCTGCTTTGCAGCAATATTGGACTGTTGGACTTTTTGTTGGGTTTTGATGGATTTCAATTGAACACCACAGATTTTTGGGTGATGAAAGTTCATGACAGTCCCAAGCGTAGCCAGGTGGGATATCCGCCCGTTTCGTTCTTTACATGGTTCTGGCAAGTCCCCTTTCATCAGATTTTGATGGTGACCTTGCTCGCCTTGATCATAGTTCACCCAAACGAGTCCTGCTTCCAGAGCGGGCGATCAAGAAAGCCAAAAAACAACCGCGGTGAGGGGGGGGGAGCCAGCCTTTGACACAAGTTACAACCACACTCGGCAACTTGTCCAGTCAACACACGTCTTTTCTGTGTCCAAAACCAGTTGTGCATGCCATCCTCGATGCAATGTCAACGTCCACTAATGGCTGCGCTGGAACATCTGTTCTTGTCATATTGGCTGCACAAGAAGACAAAGCCCGCAGATGGAAATCGGACCCTCGGACCCCCCCCCAAAAAAAAACAGCGAACATATTGTTCCAATCTGGTTTCCAAAAAGAAGACCCAACCCCACCAATACTCTCCAGAAAAATATGGGTCTTCCTTTTGGCTTCCACTTAACACCAAACCAACCAAGATTCATCGCTCTCTGCGTTCCAAAACGCACACGCACATACTGTGGATGGACGAAATCCTGCACCACTTTGAAACATGGGAAACCATTGTTGCCATGGGTGTCCTTTTAGGGCAAATAGATGGCCCTGGTAGTTGATTAAACCACCAGGTAAACCAGGAATCGCCCTCTATTTTCCCACCAAAACAACCAAAAAGGACACCTAGGATTGATACTTTGAACCATGGTTGAAACCATTCTTACTTTGAAACATGGGAATTTCCATTGTTTGCGGGGTATTTGCAGGTGAATCGACTCATATCCCAGGCTTTCCGAAGGGTCTCCGTCCACCTTGGTGATGAGCTCCTGCGTCGCCGCTAGGGTTGAGGACTGCTCCAGCAGCCGGCAGAAGATGCGGCAGCCGAAGACGTTGTGGGCCACCTGCACAAAAAAGCCGCAGGGGTCAGGCGGCCAGGCTTCCACCTTTTTGACTAGCCTCAAATAGACTTAAACCCAGGGGTGCATGTACCCCAAAAAGTGAAACCCCTGGGTTTAATTTAAGTCTATTTGCCGGTAGTCAAAAAGTAGAACCCTGGAGGCGGCCGTTTATCAAAACCGAAGAGGGGTTTTTGCCTCAGCTTTGGGGGCGGGGAGGGGGTTGGGGGGAAGATGTTTGGAGGCGGTTGGGGGTGGAGGGGCTCAGCTTGAGGGAAGCTATCAAAACTTGGTTGACGTTGGAAGGGGAGCCAAAAAATTATTTTTTTAGCAGCAATTGGTTGCATTTCAACCAGACCACAAGCAAAAATGTGTCCCAACCAAGAAAACCGCGGGAAGCCTCAGCTTCCCTCTGGCTTGGATTGGTGGTTGGGGCCTGCAGTGTGTTGGTTGGGCTTGCCTCCAATTCGTGGTTTGGATTGGTGGCTTGCAGGTTTGGAGGTGGTTGAGGGAGGGGCTCAGACTCCTGGCTTGGTGATTGGTTTGGAGGTTGGGGATGGTTTGGAGGGACTAAGCTTCTTCCTGGTTTGGATTGGTGGTTTGGAGGTTTGGGGGTGTTGTCCCATTTACCTTCTACAAGAACCAGGGGTTCAAATCCCCAAACCATCAATTCAGGGTGACCTGAGAATAGGGAACTGTTGCAGTGCGTTTCTTGGTGCTTTGTTGGACCTGTGTAAATTGTGGTTTTGTTCTGTTGTTTTTGAGGGTTGGTGTAAATGTCTCTCGTTTCTGCTCGAATGTGTTTCCAAACCCCCCCCCCAAAAAAAAAAAAACGCAGACTGTCCATTGGATCAAGCCTGCCCAAAACTAAACACCGAGGAACCACTCGAGAAAACCAAGAGAAACTCTTCCTCAGACACTATTTCTAGAACTAGCCGCTCACTGCGCCAAGAGTTCTGGGACTATAGTGATTTGGTTTTTTGTTGTTGTGTTTGTTTTCCCGTGTTCTTGGTTTTTGGTTTGGGCAGGGCTGATCCGCTGGATTTGTTTGTTGAAAGGGAGGCCTTCTTGAAACTCATTTGAATAAAAAATCAAGTTGAGTTCTTGTTGAATAAGTTGTGCAAAAGTTAACTGATGTATAACGAAAGTTCTATTGGAAAGGATATCCTGTGTAAGTGATAAACTGAAATAGAATGTATCTTAAATAAATTCCAAATCAAAAGGGAATTTATGCTTGGAATCGTTGCTTATCAAATCTATCTAAATTCAGTTGGACAGTGCATAGAGTTTGATAAAGATACTAACAATAAGTTCACAAGGAGAGAACGCAGAGGTCCAAATTTATTCAAAGAGAGTTCAACACAAGCAAAGCAAGTGCGCAAAACAGATACCAACTTGCTTGCACAGGCGGATCAAATGGCCCTTCAGGGGTCAGCTGCCGGCCAACTTCTTCACCCTGGGAAAAAAAAGAGCTAGAGGCGTAGGCCGCAAGATTTACTTAGGCTGCACCCAAAATAGGCCTAACCCATTCCCGAGCTCAAACATGAGCGTGTTCAAATGAGAGCCCCAAAAGACAGGTAGGACCCCCTTTGCCTCCACTCCCAATCCATCTACCAAATCTGGTGTCTCAAAATAAAGAACCCAAGAAAGTGGTATCCTTTTGGCTTCCCAAAACCAAACATCCCAAAATGAGGGTGCCCTCAAAATTCCCTTCAAGACATCCAAACCACAGTTGGCACCCTGAAAAAATGGACCCAAAAACAAAACAAAACAAAAAAGGCACCCTCAAAAAAATGGATTCCAAAAAGAAACCTCCCACAAAAAAGAAGGGGCACCCTCAACCAAAAAAGGAATGGAGAACCCCCCACTCTCCCGAAAAAAACTGTTGGCTCCGCCTCCTTGGCGCGCGCCATGAGCTCCTCCGCGATGAAGTGGGTCTTCGTGGCGGGCAGCACCTCCGCATCGAGCGTTTCGCGAGCTCGCGTCGCTTTGAGACGAAACGTGCGGCCGCCAAGATGGACGGTACCCAAAAGAGGAACGCCTGGGTTACAGGGAACCAAAGACGGATGAATTGTCTGGCAGTTCGGTGGGGACTTCAACCACCAAGCCACAAGCAAAAATGTAAGATTTTTCCCAACAACCATGAAATGGCAACCAAGCCCCAACTAGGTACCCAAATGGAAAACGCCTGGGTAAATGGTTGACCAAAGACTGGAGGAGTCCCTTTGGGACATAACTTATGCTAGCTACCTTTCCTAACAGAATGATAGCCTTGTCCACGTTGCCATGGCCTCTGACGTTTGGGGCCTTGAAGAGGAAACTTATCTTCCAGGTACCCTCCCACAGTCGCTATCGGGAGAGCGGGCCCTCCAGTCCACGTTGCCATGGAACCCACCAGAGGGGCCAAAGGTCTTCCAGGACCAGCCAGGTTCCATGGTCGTGGAGGAAGCGGAAGCATGTCGGGACCCCGAAATTGAAGACTTGGTGACCCATTTGCATCGGCCACTTGGGGGATCTTCCGGCTGGTCTGAGGGATTGTCTTCCTAAACGCCACCTGTGGCACCTAGATCAAGTTCCGATCTCTCGGGACCCAAAAACTGCCTTTCGGCGCCATGGCAATGTGGGGGGGAGGGTATCCAAAATAGCACCTTGGTAAATGGAACCAAAGAATACAACCTGCGATTGTCCGCTGAAAGCATTTTGGGGTCTCTGCCCAGATCTCCAGAGTGTGTGCATTTTTTTTGGCGGGCTTCAGGCAAGGGCTCCGGAACAGTTTCGGAAGGGTTCCGGAAGGGTTGCTTGCTTCAAAGGCAATCCGAAAGGTAAAACCAAGCCATTTTGGGGTCCCCAAAAAATAGACATACCCATGTATCCATGTGCGTCGTGGTTGCTTGCTTCCGCGTAAAAGAAGAAAAAACGGCCTGCATGGGAGCCTTCTCAAAAAAGTGCTTTCCAATGACGTCCACGACACTCAAGGCCAACAATGCACCGCGAAAAGGAATGAGACCAAACAACAATGCGAAACAGAAGCTTCCTCACATGAAAACCAAAAAATAATCAGCCATGACGCTGTCTATTCCAGACCTGTCTCCCAAAACCTGCGCGCAATAGTTATCAGCTTCTTCAGGCTTCACAATGGCATCTACATGCATGTGCATAGCTCATGTTCAACTCAGTCACGGTGTCAAATCAACACTCCTTGAAGCATTGAAATGAAATCTTCGCATAGTCGCAGAAGCAAGCCTTTCTCCAAGAAGGCAGGTTGCTTTGTGTGCGTGAATGTGTTCATTGGCGGATTGCCTCTGCTGTCACATGTCACAAAGAAAGAAAGCGGCAAGGAAACAGAGGAACAACGCAAAAGAAAACACCAACGAGTATCAAAGAGACAAACAAGGACATGATCAATAACAAAACAAAAAACAAACAAACAAACAAACAAACAAACAAATATAACAAACAAGCAAAACAAAACAAACAAAAAAAACACAACAAGCAAACCAAACCAACCGACAAGCAAACCAAACCAACCGACAAGCAAACAGACAAACAAACAAACAAACAAACAAACAAACAAACAAACAAACAAACGAACAAACAACAAACAAACAAACAAACAAACAAACAAAAGCAACCAAGCATCCAACAAACAAACGAACCAATCGATCGATCGATCAAAAGATCGATCGACCCATCCATCCATCCATCCATCCATCCATCCATCCATCCATCCATCCATCCATCCCATCCCATCCCATCCCATCCCATCCCATCCCATCCCATCCCATCCCATCCCATCCCATCCCATCCCATCCATGCCATCCATACCATCCATACCATCCATACCATCCATCCCATCCGTCCCATCCATCCCATCCATCCCGTCCATCCCATCCATCCCATCCATCACATCCATCCCATCCATCCAGTCACCCATCCATCCATCCATCCATCCATCCAGCCATCAATCAATCAATCAATCAATCAATCAATCAATCAATCAATGAATCAATCAATCAAGCAATCAATCAAGCAATCAAGCAATCAATCAATCAATCAATCAATCAATCAATCAATCAATCAATCAATCAATCAATCAAGCAAGCAAGCAAGCAATCAATCAATCGATCATTCAATAATTCAATCATTCAATCATTCGATATTTTAATAACTCAATCAATCATTCAAAATTAATTAATTAATTAATAATTAATTAATTAATTCATTCATTCATACATTCATTCATTCACTCATTCACTCATTCACTCATTCACTCATTCACTCATTCACTCATTCACTCCTTCACTCATTCACTCCTTCACTCATTCACTCCTTCACTCCTGCACTCCTTCACTCCTTCACTCATTCACTCAGTCACTCATTCACTCATTCACTCAATCACATCAAATCAAATCAAATCAAAACAAAACAAAATAAATCCATCTATCCATTCATCAAGCAATCAAGCAATCAAGCAAGCAGAAAAAGCAAGCAGTGTCCAGGATGTGGGCGTGTTCAAGCCATGTGCAGCGTGGCAGGCTGTGGCATGCTTTCCGTAGTCGACTCTGTGATCAAGGCTTGTGCTGCCATAAAGGACCCACAATGGCGTTTGCAAAAACTGATCATTCTGATCATTCTGATCTGACCTGGCTATGCGTCAAAACCAATGGGATCCCATTTTGAGGTTTTCGGTGCACCACCCATGTTAGAACCTATTTTAGTGGTTGGATTGAATCGGATGTTCACTGGGGGATAATAATAAAAAAATGGGTGTTGAAAAGCCTATGGCCACCTGAAAGAACGGCCGCGCGTTTCGACCTCGCCGCCGGAAATCGCCGGCTCCCTCCCCCCTTGCACCTCGATCACGCGCTGGAGTACGTGGTTGCCGTGCAAGGACAAAGCCACCTGCCCCAAAAGCACCCTGACAACGGCCACTGCGCGAGTTCCGAAATAGGACCAACCCAATGTGGCTCAAAGGGCCCGTGATGTTCATCTCGGAATCCGGACCATTCGAATCAGGGGTGGTTCCTCTTTGAGTAGGGAAATGATCGATTGTAGTAGTGTCCCTCTGACTAATTAGTAGGGTCCCCCGGATTATCCGAAATCAAGGTTAACGTGGAGGTGGAGCAACTATCCTGGCGACCGCATGATTCAGGAACATACTTCGGTCAGCCGGCATGCGAGCCTCTGCAATGTGCCCAGTCAGCTCCAAAGAGAGGTCCGTTTGCGTCTGCCGGTTGGCAACCTGGCGATCTTCACGCGAGCCGTGCTGACAGACTAGCGGCATATTCCTGCGCTCCGGGGCGCCGAACATCCAAATTTGGCTGGTTTCCAAAGCTGGGTGGCTCGTCGATTTGAGGAATCATACCATCCAAGTTGGTGGGTTTCCTTTTGTTTGCTTTCCTTTAGAACCACCAAAAATGCAGTACCCTCAAAAACAAACACCCCCAGCTATCTCTCCTCAAACAAGTGTTATCAAAGGGCCGGCTTGATTGATGTGGCAACTGCACCTTTCTCCTACCAAAATGGATTATCATCCCTCGGTCACATTCAAGGGCCCAATCTCATTTCGTGGTGTGGCCGCGGACGAGCTTCCGGCTCCCATCCACAGCTCCCACCCTTGGAACCCAAAAAACAAAAGACAAAGCCAGAACCCAACAATACACGGCCAGAACCCAAAAAAAACAAAAAACAAAGCCAGAACCAAACAAAAACAATTAAAAACAAGGTCAGAACCAAAAAAAAACAGAACCCAACAAAACACACAAAAACAAAAAATCCCACGCGCTCTTCGCGCCTTGAGCGCCTCCTGCACCGCGCGGCTCGAGAGCTCCGACTGGCGCGTCGCACACAGTTCAGGGAAGGACATGGGAATGGGTCAAAATCAAAGCACCAGGAATCACATCGCAGGTTAAGTCGTCCATGTTTCCGTTTACCAGGGCTTGCGCCATTTTGGGTACCTATTTGTGACCAATCGGACCGCAGGTTAAATCGCCCATGTTTCCATGTACCGATCGGGCTTGCGCCATTTTGGGGTCACCCGATTTTGACCACCACAGCCACATGGGAAGGACTTCTCTGGCACCGAGAAAAGCGGCCCAAGCGGGACAAATGGGTGGCACATGGATATGGCCCTCCAATGCTCCCCGTGAGGATTCCTCAGGTCCAAATCAGGGCCGGGTACCTGCGGTGCGGGGTCCGGAAGGGGGCCAGATGTTTGTTGCCCCGAGCAAGAAGCCAATCGCGAGAAGCCCACGAGTTTTTTGCGCGAGCAAACTGCCGAAAAGAGCAACTGAGCAAGGCCGTGCCATCTTGCTTTCAGCCAGCTGTGCTGGAAGTTCACAGCCTTCAAAGAAAGGTTTTTCAATGTTTGGACCCACCGTCATGGTGGAAGTTGCACCTTTCTGTGATCCGAAATGGGCTTCCGATCCCTATGACTTCCACAACAGTAGAAATAGGTTACCCCATTCCGTAAGGAGATAAAGGCGGCCGCATCTGATTCTGGTTGGGATTGTCCCTCACTACTCTTCTACCCAGGTTTTGATTATGGCTCACCTGAACAAGAATCAAGAACGGAACCTGAACCTTCAGAACGTGCATTCGGGCGCGAACCATATCCCCTTCAGTATCACACAAAGTGGGCCTAACCCCCTCCCATTTTGCACAACCATATGGGAGATGCATCGAACAAAGTGGTACTGTGCAAAGCAAGGGAACTGGCGGTTTCGCCTGAACGCCCGGAAATCCCCACAGGGCTGCGAACCCCTTCAAACGCAGAAGCGCGAAAACTGCGAAAGGCCACGGTTGACCTTCTTTGTCAGTCCTGCCCAATGTTTACAGAGTCCCCTATTCCAGGACACACGAAACAGAAAGACAAGAAGGTACAAAAAAAAACGACCTGCCCAATTTTAGAGCGTTCCCTAGGTGAAGCCAGCCCCCCCCAAAAGAAAAAAGAAAAAATAAGAAAGAAGCACAACTTCGGCTCGCGCCTCCATGGCCATAGCCACCACGTTGCCACGGATCTTGGACAAGGCGTCGCTGCGCGCCGCCTCGCGAAATCGCGAAGCGAGGGATTTGGTGAAGGCAGGGTGAGAAAGGTGAGACCACGGCCATGGCTTGAGGAGAGACCCGGCACTTTGAGCTTTCTCTTCAGGTTTCTCGAGGTTTCACTCAGCGCCTTTTTGCGGAGGTGTAGGCCGCTGGTTCGGTGGTTTGCAAGGAATTACCAGGCACTTGGAGTGCCGAAAGCGGAGCTTCGCTGGCTTTCGCCAGTCTCACTTCGTAGCTGAAACCAACCAGCCAGAAGTGTCTCGGACAATCTTGAGTTCAATGCTAAGAACGAATTGTGGGGCATCGAAAGCCTTGAGAACGGCCATGGCCCACTCCCTCCCCCTTCCCCTTCCCCCACCCTTCCCCCACCCTTCCCCCATCTGACCTTTTCCCGGCCTCTCCGCCGTGCTGCAGGTGGTCTTTCATCGTTGTCATGCGCACCGAGTGCTCCGATGCTTTACCAGCCTCCTGCCCCCACCCACCTCACTCAACCCCCCCCCCCCCGTACCCCTGGACCCCTGGACCCCTGGACCCCTGGACCCCTGGACCCCTTGTTTTGAGAAACACCCAAATGAGCTCAAGGTGCGTGTGAGGGGCTTCAAACTTCGAATGGAATCCACCGGCTCTCAGACATGCACCTGAGGGGCTCTTTGGACCAAAACCTGTCGGATCCTTGGTGCCAAGAGCGCCAGTGGAGATCTTTCGGACCTCAAGGACCCTGGAATTTCCTTCCCAGTTTGGGACTCCCTTCAGCACCGGGTTTCTTCACGGGTCACGAACCAGCCTAAGAAGGATGCTCGGAGACAGTAATTATAAAAAGCCATCATCTTCACCCACAAATGAAAAGACTCACACCGAAGCCGGGAATTGTTAGCAGATCCTCCTTGGTTCTGGAACACGTGAGAAAGAAGATTCGTACCAGCTCTGCCAGCTCATCCTTTCCACACCCCGAAGTAAAAGGTTGAGCCATCTGACTGCACTGTCAAAATGAGAAGATGCCAGCTCGTTTCGTGCACATGCAGTAAACCTTCGTCCGGAGGGGAAAAAAAAAGAAAAGAATAAACAACTGCCAACCGATTTCCAAATATAAGGTACGCATAGCAATGCCTCTATGTGAGCCACCGCCAGAATGGTCACATGGGTATGGCTAAAAAAACCAGGACCCAAAATGGATCCCTGGTAAATGGAAACAAGGACTAACGCCTGCGGTCCTTTGGTGGTCTAATTTTGACCCATTCCCACATGGAAAGCCTCAATATGCGCAACCAAAACCTCGCCACGGCTGGAAAAGCCATGCCTTCCTTTTTGACAGTCGGACAGCGTGTTGCTGAGATGGGAAACTGACTTGGAGGATCGCCCAAGTGTCACTCGGGGTAAATCATAGTCCGCCGACCTCAAATAGGGTTGCCCCCAAAGGCGGCCCCCCAAGCCAACCCCAAAAAAGGGTCGCCTCAAAAAACAAGAGCCACGCCCAATTGACGCACTCCAGGGCCCATGATGCCAAGTGAGCTCTCCTTGCGCCTCCGCCGCTGCTTTGCAGCTGCCTCCGGAAAGCCCGGTGGCTCGTAGGCGCTTCCCCACATCTCACAAAGCTGCAGAAAGATCCTTTTTTTTGCTGAGCTTGCCAACATGTGTTTACCCTCCCACCCTTTTCACATGGAACCTGATGCCTGGTTTGGACCATCTTCCCTTTAAAGGGACCGGGTCCCGTACGTCAAGTTCCATGTTAATTGGTGAGAGAGCATGAGCCTCACGAAGGAGGCATTCTGACTGGAAGATGCGAAATCCCTTGCGCAAGGCCTGTGCCAAGGAAGCTCCAGGCAGAAAGCGCTCCCAGCCAGACGAGTGTCAAAGCCCAAATCGTACCCCCAGTGAACATCCGATTCAATCCAACCACTAAAATAGCTTCTAACATGGGTGGTGAATTCACCTATCCCAAAAATGGTACCATTGGTTTTGAACCATGGCCAATCCACGCTCCCCAAACCATAACATCTGGTCCGGCCGGCGGCAATTCAGCAAAACTTCTCAGACCTAAGCTGAGTTTTGGATGTAGAACCGTCCACCAGGCACAGCATGAAAGTCCCCCGGCCCGAATATCTTGCACCCTTACACCTGGAGACCACGAGATCAGAATGGGCCCATGACAAAAAGAAACGCGGCGTCCCTTGAGCGATGGATCTGAAAAACGAGTGATCGAGTGATCCAGACTCCGGCCACGCCTTGCTGTCCTCTTCACCTGGCTCACTTCGTTTCACGCTCCCAAACATCGGTGGTGTCCTGTCGTTTCTTTCAAAACGGCTTACAGGGTAGCAACATTCAGAGAGACCCCAAAGCCTGCGGGCAATCAGGAGCCTCAAAAAGGCGCGAGCATTTTTTGCTATGGCTCTGTTTGGAAGATCAACCTCCAGTTGCGTACAAAGCCTCACTCCCTGCCCCATTACTCATCTGTTCATCAATCACCTCACCTTTCAATTCCTTCAAGTTGCAGTTAGCCACCAGGCAACAAGAAAAAGCCTGGTTGGTACACTTGCGGAGTTAATTGTAACACGTGTGGAAAAATACAACTCTCTCCTCGAGGACAAGAGATGCATCTGCCGTCCTTGGTGCCTCGTTCAGCTGAGCCGAGCCTTGTTTGCCCAGTCTCGCTCAAAGTCAAACTGTGATAGTCCTCCAGAAGAGTGCACCAGACCATTTGTCTCCTTCACCTTCACGCTATTGATGACATACAGTCCAAAACGGCTTGCTTTACAGGGCGATTTGGTGTTTCGAGCAGCAGCGGCCAACCCGCGGCAAGATCTTAGTGTCCCAAAGCGGCGCGATGGAACCACCCTGCCCGGCTCGCCAGCCCCCGGCGAGCCCGGCGAGCACCCGCGCCTTGTGCTGGCACCTTGATAAGCGGATTCGCGGCCAGGGTGATATCCCCCCCCAAAAAAAGAAGAGACGAATCTCCAATCTCGAGGGTGATGAAGGGCCTTCGTAAATGGACCTGGGTCCATCTTGGAAAGGGTTTCTTGGATCTGGGCTGTCCTTATTTCCCCGCTAAACGTTCAAATGGAAACCCCCACTAAACACTGAAAACCTAAAAGCCTAAGGGGATGGCTGGGAACCGCCAAGGGATGTTGCATGTGCCAAACGCTTTCTGAACGGCTTCTCGCTGGGCACCCGGCACTGAAGCTGTCAGCCTCCTCGCTAGATTGCCGGCTCAGCTTCCTCCCTCGGACCTCTAGGCGCTCGGAGCGCTCGGAGTGGCGCTCGATGCGCTCGATCGAGCGCTCGCTTTGGTCCTTCTTGGGGTTGTCATCCGCCAGCTGGTTCTGCTGCAAGGGTCGCAGCACCGGCTGCATCTGCGGCATCTGAAGCTGGGCATGCTGAAGCTGGGCCAACTGCTGCTGCAGCGACTGTTGCATTGTCTGCTGCATCTGGCTTTGCTGCATCTGATTCTGCTGCATGTGGTTTTGCTGCATTTGCGCCTGCTGCTGCATCTGCGCTTGCGCTTGCTGCATTTGCTGATGCTGCTGCTGCTGCTGATGCTGCTGCTGATGCTGCTGCTGATGCTGCTGCTGCAGCTGCTGCTGCTGCTGCATTTGCGCCTGCTGCATTTGGTTGGGCTGAAATTGCATCTGCCCCCCCATTTGGTTTTGGTTCACGGGCATCATCGACATCTGCATTGGAACTTGCATCTGCTGTTGTTGCAGGGATAAGTTCTGGAAGTTATTCGGCATCTGGTTGGACCACCAATTGGGCGAGCCCTCCAAGCCCGCGCCACTCTCCGAGCCATTCCAGGTCATCATACCTGCGTGCCGGCGTGGAGAGGGCGGCCCTCACTCGTGCTTTGGTCGGCTGTTGGGGGGGGGGGGTACTGTATCATACCCCCCAAACCAACAAGGTGTGACTTTGAGAGGAACAGAACATGTCACTGAATGGGCCAGTGAGAACTGCTTGGAATGCGACAGATGAAAATATGTCTGACTGCCCACTGAGATCAAAGTGCAACTGATCAAAGGAAAAGGGCTGAAATTTCAATGGGCATTTCACTGATCGATTTCCCTCAGCACTCCAAAGGCGAAAGGTGCTTGGATCGCCCTAGATCGGGGCAAGGCAGCAACCCGCAAGCCAAACCATGTCCGAAATGGGTCCCCGCGACATGCCATTTTTTCCGTCGAGCGACACTCGACATGTTGCGTCCACTGTAGGTGTTAGGGTTCTGGCACCTAGAATTCCGTTCATCCGCGCACCTGACTGCCTGTTTCCCCAGCGCCACGCACTTGTCCTACCAGTGGATCACATCACTTTAGGATTTAGGCTACTTGGCTTTTGACCCAAGGACCACATGTTCAAATGGAAATGGTCAAATCCCTCGAGGGTGCATCTTCAAGCCTGAAGCTGTGAAGGTGTACTGGCATTCGCACCAACGAAATTTGAAAGAACCCAAAGGCCTAAAAATGTGCTCAACCCAAACCTTGCTTCCTTGGCCATCTTTTTTCTTGGTATCCATCTTAAAGGGACTGTCTTAACAAACCTTCCAAAGAAATCGAACTCTCGAAGCGCGACTCATGGAGTGCGCCCAAATGGACAATCCAACAAATCAACCAAAGGCGCAAGCCGAGCTCCCCCATATGTACTTTTTGTACCTTGCCACCTGTAGAAACTGGACCGCTTCGCATTCCGGGCCTCCTGCGCCCGGGTTCTGCTGAACATAGAGCATCGAATACATCGGAAAAGTAGGCACCTCGATCCCAAGGGACGGCGGGGGGGAAAAAAAAAAACAAAAAACAAACAAGGAGTTGAACATGGAACTTGGCCGTCCAGGAGTCCTGTGGAACATGACTGCCATCTACCCTTCTCACAAACAGAAGGCAACTAAATGGGTACCTGGCAGATCAGTGTCCGCTCCATCTCTCTGCCATGGCAACGTGGAAGGGGAGATTTTCCATAACCCAAAAACGCATATCCTCCCGAAACCAAGTGAGCAGAGTTTTTGTTGGGTACATGAACAGGGGAACTCCGCGGCAGCCTGCGCGAGCACGCGCGAAAAAGCTTACGCGGCCTGCGCGGACTGCGCAGGCACACTATTCCAGCCTACGCGCCTCCGGGCGCTACTAAAAACTCTGCTCAAGTGGCTCCCTGCAACTCACCTCATGCCTAGTAAGACTACCTCACGATTTCGCGACCAAAGGACATCCCTATGATGCAAGTGGTGTCTCAAAGCTTCCTGGTGCGATAGGTAGGAAAGGAGACATGGAATGAACCTGGGAGTCCCTCAAAGAAAACCACCAGTTGGATGGTTTATAAGGGTCATTCGCTCATTCCCTACTGAGCACCAGCAAGAAAAGAACGTTTTGACGGACAATCATAGTTGACTTGTGGTGTTCGGACTTTTGGAGGAGTCCTCCGCGTTGCCTTTTAGAAGTATCCGGCAGTCGACATTTGTAGCTTGATGCAACTGCAAGTTGGCTTCTCCCCAAAAGGGCCCAACTTATTCTTCATTAATTCCCCATCATGCAACCTGCCTTTTGTTTTGCCTCTAAACTAATATCAGCACCGCCCGCGTCGAGACCCTCCGAGGGCTCCTTGGCCCCCTTTTCCGCGGGCAGGTGGCGGGATCACCCGAGGCCAAGAGTGTCATGCACGTCGAGCGTTGATCCAAAGCCTCAGCACGCGGCTTTAAGTTTGATCCAGATGGGTTGCACATCGGTTTCTTTAGGCTACCTTTTTAACAGGAGCCTATGATTTCGAGGTTCATGTTTGACACACCGTCAGTCAAATAGGTTCGATGCTACACGCTGGAAACGGCATATGTGAACGTGATTTGGGTCCAAGACCTCTTGGAGATCGAGCTCACATCTCAGAAGAAAATAATCGGAATCAGCTAGCAAAGGTGAATGTCGACACGGCCCCGTCAAGTTTCCTTGCCAAATCCCATGTCTGCTGTTGAGATGTTCCCTCACCCACAGTCTAGGCCTGACTCTTGGTGAAAGCAGAGCTTGCACGCTTGCATGCTGCAACGCTGCAACTCAAGTGGTGGAGACTCTCAAATGAAGGCCGCCCGCCACATTAGTTGAACACCCAAACCAGGCAAAGCAAGCTCCGCTCGCAAGAGCGCAAACCCTTGCTGACAACATAAATGGACGCTTGACGCTCTCTGAACTGGATCGTGCACAAAGCATCGAATGGAACTGTCCCAAATCTGCGAAAAGACCATCTCAACATGTCAGGATTGCAAAAGCAGCTCTGCCGGAATGGCATGGGGGGGTTCCCTTCAAGAACCATCGAGGCCCCCAAACGCAGAGCTTGCTTTGGCCCCACAAACATTCCCCCCACCCAAAAAGCAAATACTCGCCCCTAAAAAAGCGATGATTGAACTGGCTCGAAAGCGACACATGGCAACTTCTAAACGGTGCTAGGCCTTCTCCACACCTTTTGGCAAGCCAAAGCATCCTCCCCTTGCCAGGCGTCGATCCTTTCCGTCGATGAGACTTCTTCCAGAGGCTGCGCCGTATTTCTTCACCGTTCAGCTGTACTGGAGCCCACAGGGCGACGCTGGCAAAGCGTACTACCCCTTGCGCAAAAACATGACTAGACGTAATACCCCCTACCCCCCCACTCGAAGACATGTGCTGGTATGTGCTGGTGTTTACCTCTTCCTGGTTCTAGCAATCCATCTCTTTCCGGTGGCAGGCGGCTCCAATTCCCCCCTTCAGGCCAGTGCTCGTCCAGGTGGTAAAAATGTTATACGTCGCGGAATGGGCGAGTCGCCGAGTCTGGAAACCGTCACACCTCTTCCCCTAAAAAATCCCGGGCAGGAAACTGAGGGAGCCAAAGCTTTGGCCAAAAGCCTTGGTTCTATGTTGGTTTTCGGGGGTGTCAACCTCGACACCTGTTTTTTGTTTTTTTCTTCGGGGGCATTTCGCAGAGGCGAAGATTTCCCCCCGGTGTATAGATGTTGGTTCAACGTGCTGTCCTTCCGGTCGAGCACGATGGCTGTGATACTTTGCCATGAGATTGCAAGTGCAGAAAATTGGACACCCGTCCCTGGAAGCACGCCTTGAGGATTCCTGAGAAAGGTTGGCGGTATCAACATATTAAACCTAGGGGACCACAGGTTTGAGTCCTTGATTCCATCTACCCGAGTTCCGTTTTGGGTACCCATTTTTGACCCACAGCCATATGGTGGTTGATTTCAATGGATCTCTGGTTGCTCAAGTGAGACACATCTGCGCTCTCCACCCTTGAGACGTCACCTTTGTCGCCCGCAGCGAAGCGCAGGCGCAGGTGCACTAATTCGACTTCTTGGCCTCGAAACGGAGAAATCGGCAACCCATGAGTGCGTCCTATTTACTTGGTTGCTGTTGACCCCCCTGCAAAAAGTTTAACTTTTTTGGGGGTTTAGTGGAAACCCCCTTGATTTCCCAAAAAGTTAAAGTCTAAAGATCCAACCCAATAGCAGTCAAGTTTGGAGAACCCGTGGTTTTGGGGCTGAAAACACACAGGTTGTTATTTGCAAACAATTTTGGGTCCCTGGTTTTGTGGGAATTGGAATTGTCCCCCATGTCCTCCCTAAGCTAACTGTACTGCCGTAACCTTTGGAGTCCAATATATAACGCACACCCTTGCTTCTGACCCGTTTGTGGCTTCACGCGCAGGCAACGTCGCCGAGGACAAGGGGGCCTGTCTTCGAACGGGCGACCCTTTCAAAATGGGTGGGCTGAGGTTCGCTTCCCTAAAAATCAAACGGGACCCTAAATGAGGCACACATCCAAAAAGCTGAAGCGCCCCTCCGGCTTCGCCTTCTTCTTGGTCTTCGACTCCTGTGCCGCGCCGGCCTCAGGATGGCATGAGCAAACCCAGCCATACAACCCAGGGGTCTGACTTTAGGTTGAAGACCAGTGGGCTTAGCGCTACCTTCCAAAAATCGAGCCGAAGTTGGGTTCCCTCAATTTCACTGCCACCTGGAAGCACTTGAGGAGCGGGTGAACGAAAGCTAGCAGTTGTTGCATGAGATGGGTCGGTGAAAGAGTGGATTCATAGGTAGCTTGTGTACAGCGAGAGGCCCGGCAAGATTCGTAGGATGCGACACGCAAACGCACATGGTGGCGTGGCAAACGCTGAAAAATGAAAACAACGAGAGGCGTCAGAAGCTGTCTTAAAGCACCTCTGGGTTCTGCATGCTGCGTGTGCAAAGATTCTTGCGAGGTGGTTTACTGAGAAGACTGAGGTCTCAAATGAACAAGCTGAATCGGTGGAACATGTAAAAGTTCGTAGCACCAAGTCCAAAACGGGCAAACCGAGACTGCTGAAACACTGAGCCACTGCCCGGGGGGAGGGGTGGACGGGGGGGAGGGGGGTCTAAATAATTGACTTTGTTCAATCTTTTCGGCTCAAATAATTGGGCAGTTGAGCCCCTTACCTTGCTTACGCAAGGAGGGAACTTCCCTGGGCAGAAGTGTGAGAAACCTTGAATCTTATGCCACAGAGAGCAAATGCGTCTCCGCAACCGGATGTCCACTTTCCCTTTCCCCAAGACTTCGCTTTTTGGAACCTGAATCAATGACCTTGTCGCACTGTTCTTGAGCGCTTTTCTTGACAACCACGAGACAATCCTGCACGTCTGCACTTCCGGGAGGGAGATGGGGGGGGCGCCAAAAACTTTTGCTCAATGAGCAATACCTCAGCGCGGGGGGTGGCAAGCTGTTGCTCCATACCTGGCGGGAGGGGGGGGGGCCTTTTTACTCAATACTCGGGGGGGGGCGGGGTGGCAAACTGTTGCTCAAGACCTCTGGGCGGGGGGGGGGGGGGGGCAAGCTTTTGCTTAATGAGCGTCTGCACTTGCAGGAGAGGGGGGTTTGTTCAATGCGCATTGGGTGGGGCGCAAATGTTCGACTCCTTTCCGGGCCACCGGGCCTTGGCAGCCTTTCCGGCCCCAAGATTCTGCACCTGCCGCGGCCCTACAAATCCAACTAGCCCATCTAAGCGTGTGGATGGCTCGCCCGCATTTCCAACACCCCAACAAGGCCATGAACCTCCCAACTGAAGGGCTCCAACATTACACATATATATATATATATATATATACAAATATATACATATAGATGTATATATATATATATGTATATATATATATATATGTATATATATATATATGTATGTATATATATATATATGTATATATACATATATATATATATACAAATATATCTATAGAAAGACGCGGGTTGGAGACTCAACCTCTATTGACTCCTCATAGGGTGAAACAATTGCCAAGCATGCTCGAATTAGATGGGTGGAAAGCTGAATGGCTCACCACTCTTCCTAGCTGATAGAATAGAAAAACCATGCGCGATGCAAAGACCAACAAAGTGATCGAAGCCAGAACCACGCTCTTTGAAGCCAACTGATGGAACAAAATGACTGAGAAGGAGTCGCGGGACAAAACGTGATCAGCGGGAGCAAAGTGATCACTCTGCAGCTTTCGGAACTCCCCGAGGCGAAGCGCATGTCGGCGGGGGCGCGTCAAGAGGATCGATCGCCAGCCTGAGGCTTTTGAAATCACAGCGCTGGCAGCACCTCCGACATGGACCTACATCCCCCGGTTCTTTTTTGAGGATACCCTTCTTGGCTTGGTTTAAACGAGAACCAGACAGGCAACCAACGACTTTCGCCCCCCCCCCGCCCCCCTCCCCATTTTCAGGCAACCCCACACAGTTTATTTCAGAGGGAGCTCCACACGAAAGCTGAGAGCCCCTGGTGCTGCGACCTGAGATACACCCCAATGCTGGCGTGCGACTCGTTAGACACTCCCCAACTTGACGTGGGCTTAACAAGGACATCTGCAAAATCGCAAAAATACTTACTATCTTCATCATCATTGATTAAAAACAAAGATCCAGAAAAGATTCTCCACCACAGCCACGCCCCCGGAGAGTCCCGTCGCCCGCATTCGTCACGTGCACCCGCACGAGGTGATCGCCCGGCCTGGATGGGGAAGAGCACCTCCCGGAAGTTTGCCCAGCAGCCCTGAGCGCGCTCGCACGCTCGCGCGCGCGCGGAACGGACGCAGGGCCTCCCTATTCGTCGCCGACCAGCCCGGCACAAAGAGGCACTTCTTATTCGGATACCTCCAAAAAATGGGCGGAAAAGCGGACCAATCCAGACAAGTCCCGCCTGCACGTGCCAAAAAAACAGAAGAGGTCATGATCAAGCCGCACGGCCAGTGCCTTTTTTCCCTACGTGGCATCGAGCTTCCTTCAGGCCTCCCATCTGGCTGGATCGAAAAGGAACAACAGGTTCAGCTGTCTGTCAGCAGTGTCCAAACTTGGAAACCAGGAGGTGGCGAGAGGCTTGATGTTCTTCACACCCACCTGGGTGCGTCTGTTTTGAGGTCGGACCTGTCCCAAAACACAAAAGATGGTCCTAATGATTTCCCTTCAAAACCACAAGTACCAACCCAAAAAAAGACAGACCCACCTCTTGAGAGCTGTCCTCTTCGAGCACTGCACTCGTTTCCGACCAGATTTGGGCGCGGGGCAACGTAGTCTTTGGTGACCGGATCCCACACGATGTGCTCCCTCCATCCACTAATACATATGTGTACACCTACATGCTTAGAAGCATCTATATGTACATATATATATATATGTATATATATTTATATATATGTGTATTTGTTTGCATATACATGTCTATATATATGTATAGTATGCGTGTACATATGCTTGTTTACGTTTATGGCCGCAAATGGACCTACGCTTTAGATCTGTGAGCTGCCGTTGGGGAAAGTTTCAGAGGAAATGTTGGGAATCAAATCGCGCTTTGCATATGGGTGGCTTGTCTTTTTGCAGATTGGACACCCCAAATGGCTTCGCTTTGCCTTGTGGTTTCCCTACAAAACCATACAAACAAACAAAAAAAGTACCCCCCCCCCCCCCCCCCGAAAAAGACACCCTCACATGACAAGAGGCAAAACTAGAGGATAGGAGTATAGGATATGTCAATTTTGACAGGGATGGCTGCATTGCAAGAAACACAATAACATCGATGTGCCTTGAAAGAATGGCTGCACAATTGACTACAGCGTCATTCTTCAAAATGATGCACAAGCAAAACGTGAGATCTCTGAACCACTTCGTCATACTTCGGTATGCTGATAACAGAACTCCTGCAACTTGCGCATCATATCATGAAAGTGGAGCATGACCGGCTAGGAGCAGCAAGCAGTCGCATACGACTACAATTGACAATCGATGGCGGTGGGAAAGGATGCGACAATCATCTTGCCAGGGTTCAATATGGTGAAAAAAATGCAGCTCGTCAAATGCACAAAAGCCAGCCCGCCATGCAAAGTCGCTAACTACTGAGTCAACAGCGGTAAAGCCTGGCTTGGGGGGAGAGGAATTCCCACCTTTGAAGGCATGTCAGTTGGACAAGTCGATGGTCCAAAACAATAGACACGTGCAGTATCAAGGTGTGTCCTCGGGATTTGAGATTCAATGTGGCTACTGGGTAATCGAGCCTAGACCTTAGATGGGAAAATGATCAAGTTCAGTACAAAAAATCACTGATGTGGTCCAGAGCAAAGGTCCATTTGGGGCTCACCGTATATGCGTATGTATATGGATACATATGCATATACACATTAGATGCGTGTATACGTGTAAAACAAAGTGTCCAAGGAGAATGCGGACCGTTGCCTGTTTGCCTTTAAGGTTTTAAAGTTGGATGAGTTGGATATGTCTCTGTCAAATGAACGAAAGGACACACCATGCGGCCGACCAATAGCTCTAGTGGGTAAAGAAACAGAATCAACAGAAAGAACTGGTTCCGCCTTAGGCCTCGACACATCAGCCAAAATCAAAATCAGAGATGCGTGTTGCACTGATCAGTTCCAACTGCTCCTACGGCACTGTGATTTTTACGGAACACTTCCTTCTGCATGGCAGCACACACTCACACGCCTTCTGTGCCCAAATCTTGGAAATTGCTTGCTGCAAGAACTTTGCACAGCATCCTTTGCACATGGGCCACCGTCGCCATTTGCGACAGCAGCAGCTGCTTGAAATCAGATCTTGAGTCTGGGCCAACACAAGGACTCGTATCACACTTGAGAGATCTGTGACTCCTGTGACTCTTTGGCACAAGCGGCTGTGGCTCAAAATTCGGTACCCAAAATGGCATCTTGGAAAATGGAGAGGCTAAAACCTGCATCATCCCAGCTCTCTCATTTTGCGGAAAATCCAAGTGTCAGCAATTCAGGAAGCAAATCTTCAAGCTGCAACAAACACTGTGCCCGAGTGTTGGCAATCTGCGGTGAAACCTTTCCGCTCGGGGTCTTGCAGGGCACAAGCAGTTGGTCGAGGATTTACCGTACCATTCTCCGGCGGGAACAAACGAGGCTTTTATGGATGTGGGACAAATATCCAACCATTCATCTTGCTCAGTTTCTCGCTGGAAATAATTGTATCAAACAGAATCAACGACAAACAGAACACAACATCATTGAGACGTCTGGTGCTTTGTTGCCAAGCTAGAAAACCATATGTTGCTCAAAACCTGCCTTGTGCTCTTGCCAATCCGTAAAGCTGTGCGTGTGGGTGTGTGGCTGCACTAGTGATCCTCTCAACTTTGCGAGTACATCAAACTTGCGTCTTGGCCAACAACCAGGACAGCAGAATTGTGGCTCGGTTTCTACTTACAATGGTTCCTGATCTGGAAACGTAGCCTTGTCCCTCAATCAGTATGCTTCCCGCCCAAAGATTGCACAAGGGCAACTCATTGGAATGCCCCTTCCATTAAAAAAAAAAAAGACGGGGCATCACTAGCGAACGTGTGAAACATAGGGGGCCCAAAAGTACTTTGCAAATAAAGTGGTAGAAACGCCCAGCATCACTAGTGATTTAGTACAACAAAACGTCATCATTCTCGCAAAGGGAACATAGGTGTCCTTTTTGAAAAAATAGATAGCCCTGGTAGTTGATTGAACCACCAGGTAAACCAAGAATCGCCCTCTATTTTTCAACCAAGTCAACCAAAAAGGACACCTATGGAGGTGAACAACATGGGTCTGTGGTGTCTTCCCCACCCCCCCCTCTGGCTTCCGGTGGTTTCGTTCAACTCCCAAACCACAGGTTTCCACAGGTTTCATCCATGTGTCCATTTACCAGGGTTCCCAGTTTACCAGGGTTCCCATTTTGGGGTTACCATATTTTTGACCCACTGCCAGTTCAACTCCAAGACTCGCGCCAAGTTCCCTCGGCGGCGCGCGAAGCGACGATGCGAAGGTCAGGTGGTTTGCGCCATGGAGCAGCTGGATCTCTGCTCGAGCCGCGCGCCTGGAAGGAACGGACTGAGAGGAAGGAAGGAAACCGGTAACCCAACAAGGAACTGACTCAGACAAGGAATATAGATAGGTAGAAATCGATAGTAATAAGTAAAGAAAACAATAACGACATATATAAGGAAGGACAACGGAAAGAAGAAAGGAAGAAAGAAAGAAAGAAAGAAAGAAAGAAAGAAAGAAAGCAAGCAAGGAAGGAAGGAAGGAAGGAATCACAGCCGCTATGTTTTTTGTTATGCTCCTTCATGCGCGTATTCGCGCCTTTGTGAGAGAATTTGTGTGTTGTCTGGGTGCCAGCGTGTTGTCTTTGTACAAGTATAGTTCTTTTTTCAGGTCCATGCACGTCCGTCGCCGTGGAGTCTTTTTTGGTAGTCAAGGTCCAGCTCATATCCTTTGGATAGGAGCTTCCGTCGCATGGGGAAGGCTGGCGTTTCTAGGGTACTTGCATTTCCAAAGTGAAAGACACATTCACAACCGGAAGAAAATGCAAAGGCGCAAACACGCAAACCAACCAAAACAGCAAATACAACGTATGGCAATGTGTGGGCTTTTCTCAAATGGGTAACCGTAAAAGGCAAACAAAAACAAAAACGGTGTTCCTTTGGTTCCATGAGCGACCAAAAAAATGGGTACCCTGGGCGCCGCGCCTCTGCGCTCCTCGCCGAAGTGCATCTGCTGGTACCGCTGCTCCTCCTCCTCTTGCTTCTTGAGACTGGGCCGGGGCCGACGGGAGAATGTGGACGGACCGAGCCCCGGACCGATTTTTAGGGGCTGTCCCTGGGTGAAATGTGGGGATTCGGACCACTTTAGGGACACTCCCATATTGATAAACTGGGGTTGATTCGTCTGGGGTCAACGTTAGCCAGGAATTTGAGCTACAAAAGAACGAAGACAAATCATGCAGATGATCGACTCATGGGGACAGTTCTGAGATCTTTCCAAGCCAAAACGCAGGCCAACTGGTCAAACAGGGCTTGTGAATGGGAGATATGTGCGCGGTCACCCATTCAAGAACGCTTTGGGCAAGAATTCTGCTGGCGTGCTTGTGCTGCATGAAAATGCTGCAAGGATGTTGCGAAATGCAGTGGGAAGGAGCCACGTGTCGATGTGTTCACATCCTCCTCAAGCTGCGCGTGGCTCTGCGAGATGGCATGTGAGTTAGGCAAAGGTGGCCACAAGCTGAATGCCGTGCTCTCGGCAAAGCGGGAAGTTGAACTACCAAAGACCTCGAAAGGGTCAGAGAGTCAGTCCAGCCATCCAAAAGCAGCAACCGCCAAGCGAACGCTCTTGAGCCCAGGTCCTGCTTTTGGCAAAACCCTTGACCAGTTAAACCTCTGTGCCCGTCTTCCAGCGGGTGAATTTCTTAGGGGTGACTCAGGTCTAACGAGGATCACACCTCGTCCAACTGCAACAAACCCTTCTGTCCGTGCCCAACGAGGCGAGCAGCTCCCCAAGCCCGTGCTTTGTCGGAGACAATTTGGACTTGCTGGAGATCCTCTTCCGGCGCTTTCCACCAATCACCGACATTGGGAGATATTTCAAACGAGCTCTGTATGTGGATGTGGTTGTCAAAACCAATGGGATCCCATTTGGGGGTTTCCGGTGCACCACCCAATTTAGTCTATCAGGGATCCTTACATTATACACCTGAACATTGCCTTGTAAATGGTGGTTTCCCTTTATT